ATTGAAGCACTTAGGAAGGTTGATGAGCACAGTTTTTTCACAAATATTAATTAGTATTGGTTTAAATATTCAATTTAAATCACTTCTGATTATAATTCAAAAAGCATTTCTAAATTTCTTTGAAAAAATAATTAAAACTCCTTTATTTGTTTAAAAGGTAAATGACAAATGTCATTATGTTCATTCAAAATTCTTGGCATACGAACTTCACGCATATTCTATTTCTTTTTACTTGTAGATTGTCTTATTCCTATCTCGCTCGCGCACGCTATAATCACACTCCTAATTTTGTGTCATAGGTGCGCGCGCATTGTAAAATTTCACTCTCATAAATTTTTCATAACGCGCCTAAAGAAGTATAACTTCAAAAATTTCACCACTAAATAGATGAAGGTATTTTTATTTTTTTAATTTTTTATGTATACCTATCGAGTCATTTGTGACAAAAAATCAATTTTATATCAATCACAATCTATGTTTTGTTTGGCTAATAAGTAATATTCTGCCAATTTAATGTTCTTCAATACTTGTTATTAAAATACAAAAGATAAAGTACATTTTGTTAATTGTATACATTTAAGTATATAAATACAAAAGACGGCGCTACGGGAAATGAAGTAAGTTAATAATTTGTCATAAGGGGTGCGAAACTCAATGAATTTGATTACCCGCCCACGTATGATTGATTGAAAAAACAGTTTTCAAGCCCTAGCCCTAAAAAGCTGTAAATCTCTAAACAAATACATTAAAACAATTATTTTAAATTTAATATCCTACAATAAAGTATGAAAAACCACTATTTATGCACGCAAATTTTCAAAGACTTCATAAATCTGAAAATAATATTTAAAAAATTGGTTTTCGTGAAGGAGTTCTTGAAATTCAATAGGTATATGAGTTCGACGAGATCAAAACGTAACGGGGTGAGACACTTGTTGATCTCGGCTAAGCGATCTTTTGGTAACGAGAACTTAAAAAATACATATTTATTAATACCCTAATAATGGTTTAAAATAAATATTTATTGTTACGAATAAGAATGTATATAAGCTACAGTTAAAAAACATTTAAACCAATTTAAAGAAACCTTAAAACGATATTCGTTCAAAATATATATATATATATATATATATATATTAGATTTGTATATTATTTTCAAATCTCTTAAGTAATTACATATTTTTAATCGAATAAATTACATTCCTTATTAATCTGATTCTAAATCCAAGAATTTAAATACTAAAGCGCAAAAATCGAGATAAGTTTACTTTCCAAAAACAAAATTAATTGAATAATCAACATTATTCTCCTTATATAAAAACATAAATTTTCCTAACGCTTATAAAATATCTTCAATACTTACATAAGAGTCATCCCCAAATAAATGCACGCAACTAACACGAACTCACTTTCAACACGAACTTCGAGCATCGGGGGCTCGGTGTATGCCATTGGCCGAACAAGCGACAACTATGGCAGTAAGCGACCTGTTTCGCTTTATATAGTGGCGGGAGTGAGATTTATATAACCTCCCACATTTGATGATAAATTTAATGATTGAACTTTTCACTGTAACTCGAATTTTTAATTTAAATGTAATTTAAATTCACGAATATTAAATGCAAGTAATCTTTTAATGCAGTTCGCGTCTAAACTACACAGAAAGGCCTAATCAGCTATATATATACAGCTTTTGATTCTAATTAACAAGGCCTGGTGGAAAACAATTCGGCATTTGATACCAGAGTACTTCTATACAAAAGGTACTTAGTGATATTTAGTTTTTCATTAGACGATTGATTTTTTCATTAGACGATTGATTCACTCGCCGCCGACGGCAAATGACACAGCTTTTGCCGTCGGCGGCGAGTGCCGTCGCTTCAAAAATCAAGACTTACTCAAAATATCTTGTTTGTCTTATTACCAGGGACTTTTTGTTTTTTTATTTTGTAAAGCTTGAGATTTTTATGAAAAAATATCATTTTCGTGTTCTACTTTAATATACAATATTGTATGGTGCCGTCTAGTTGGTTGTCAGTCAACAAAATAATAATATTTTTTAATTATTTGGATTTCACCATCACTATAGCACTTTAATGTACAGAGCATTGTTCGATTTTTAAAACTTGCAACACTAAGAAGGTTCTTGAATGCTTGAAACATTGACAATACATAGGCTGCACTAAAAGTATCGGGAATGGAATAATACCACTGTTCCTGTCATATTTAAATCTTTTTAATTGAAAACTCCTTTTTTTAAAATCGAATCCATTTTTTTTTTTTTAAAAAGATTCTCGGTCTTATCACAAAGTTTTGTCAAACTTGTTTAGTCGTTGAGAAAATGGAATTGACTTGAGAAAATTCAAGAGCGATGATTTATAATGACTTTCGAAGTGGTTTATCACAAAAACAGTGTGTTGACCGGATGATTTCTGCATTTGGTGATGAAGCCCCATCCAAAACCACAATTTATCGCTGGTTTGGTGAATTTTAACGTGGACGTGTCAAGCTCAGTGAAGATTCCCGTTAAGGTCGGCCAAAAACTCCAGTCACCCAAGAAAACGTTGATGCTAGCATTTGTTTGCCACAGGTCGTTTCTGAACTCCGTAAAGAGAACTGCAACCGCCGCATCATCCTCCATCACGACAATGCGAGTTCTCACACCGCGCACAGAACAAAAGAGTTTTAGAGCAAGAAAACATAGAATTATTAGACCATCCGCCGTACCGACCTAAGCCCTAATGATTTCTATACTTTCCCTAAAATAAAGAATAAATTGCGTGGTCAGAGATTTTCATCACCTGAAGAAGCTGTGGACGCCTACAAAACGGCCATTTTGGAGACCCCAACTTCCGAATGGAATGGTTGCTTCAATGATTGGTTCCATCGTATGGAAAAATGTGTCAAATCGCGGAGAATACTTCGAAAAGCAATAAATACATTTTTAAATAGTAATGTTGTGTCACTTCCTTGATTCCCGAAATTTTCAGTGCCGCCCTCGTATTAAAGTCTGGAGTTAAGATTTTCAGTTTCCAGTTTATTATAACGAATTTCTGTTACAGAAACGAAATATACGTGCGCGAAATTTTAGATTATATTAACATGAAGATAAAAATATTTTTTCAATTAAATTTTACAAAATGTCAATCCTTACATTTAACGCCATATTAAAGGGCTCGTTGACCATGTACGTTGCAATAGTTTAAACATTTTTGGATTTCAGAAAAGTATACAAAACTTCGAGTTGCGAAAATAATACACTATATTCGCCATTATATATTTTAATATATGTAAAAAGTAAAAGTAGACACCTAGCTATTTGTCTCTAAACGTTATATGACTTCTTGTATGGATGGATGAGATAACCTAATTTACGATCTTTTTAGCTTAGTAGTCGTAATCTTAAATCATATACATTTGTTAAAATCAGTTACATATTCTTTTCATATTATTTTTGTTGTAGGCCTATACCAAAGACAATATTATTTGCAATCATTTAATCGAGTATCTTTCTAAGAAGCTTATACATCAATGTATAGCACACGTTTTAGCTAGAATGCGTTGATTTTCCATACAATCTGTTAGGTTAGGTTAGATATTAATAACACTACTGCTAATTAGAGCAATTATTAGTACAGTCTTTTCAAGGACCATCTTAAGGCATTACGAATTTAAGAAACTGGAGTTAATAATAATTTCCGCTTTGATAGCAACAGCTTTTCTTAGAAAATTTAAAGCATTGTAATGACTACATAAAATTAACTTATTTGTATGGGGACCAATTTTTTTATATGTAAGCTTTGATCGTACGATAAAAGTAAACGTGAGGAAACCACCATAGCTTAGACCCAAAAAGTGACGGCGCGTTTAAGACACTTGTTTGTTAGGTAAAAGATCACGAAACATATAAGGCAATACCAAGTGGTTGCAGCGCCACTTCTTTTTATGTATCTCACATTATGATTTACAATAAAATATGTTTTCGTAATGTTTATGTACAAAAATGTATTTATATTAAACAATTATATCTAAGGAGTAGGCGTTCATTCTCTAAGAAAAAATATAAATGTTGTAGAAAAGTATTAGTTATTAAGTTACCCGTCGGGGGTATACATATACCTCCTTATTTAAAAACAAACTGTGTCAAAGATGTGTCCGACGATGTGTTAAACAGACAAATTGGAACATAAGACTGATTTGGGTCTTATACGGTAAGATTCTATGTAAGTAGATTAATTTTCATCATTAGATTTTAAACATAATTTTATATAGAACTTATACAAGTCCCGGTCCAATTATGGTGACTTTAACTGATTTAAAAAAATATAAGACGTTACATCAACTGACCGTTAGTAACAGAAACAATATTTGATATAAGCTTTTGTTATCTCTGTGTTTCGAAGTAGATATCATTATGTATGGGCGTATACCAATACCCGTTGTATTGGTGCCTTTAAGTTGTAACAAATTCAGTGGAAGATAATGCCTATGTATCATTTAGGCTGAGCAATAACTGTTTTAATTAGTTCCTGACAGTTAGTTAAGCCTTTATGAAATATTCATATACATTATTTCCTACTCTTCAAGGGGCATTTGACAAATATCATTGACGTTCCTATTCTAACTTGATTCGCATTGCGTTAACAAATAAAACTCCAATAATAATGATTATTTATTAAAACTATATGCATAGTGTTCAAAGTGCATTTTTTATTTATCTATTATAGGTACATAGTAAAATTCAGATTGAGGCCTCCCTAGTAAGACAAAGACCTGTGACAGGGAAGGTTCGCTCTTCTTTAATTAACATATTTTAATGAATAGTGCATGTAAGCTGTGGAGTGGAGTAATTTAATGGTGTAATAATTCCTCTCTTTCCTGCTACGAGATAAGAATTGGTACTAAATTTAAATTTAGAATCGTCTAATTTATAGACTTTCAAATGTGTACAATAATTAATTAATATATTTGGACTTTGAGATATTATAAGTCTGCTTTCATTAAATATCCATAGATTGTAGAATTGTGAAGTAAGAGTAGCATGTTTTCAAAATCTGAAACATAAAAATAAAAATTGAGTGAAGCAAGCGTCTGTCGTCCTGTTACCATATTATACGCCCGTTAATCGAATTCAGGACATTATATACGTCATTACCACTTGTTATTAGTGGTAAAACGAATCCCAACTACCTGGTTGTTCACGAAATCACGTCTCAGACCCAAATATGGCCGACTTGGGCTGATGCCCAAAGAAAAATTATCATCAACACAGGTAACCTCACTCGCACGTCTGCGTCTAATTATTAGTTTTATTGGCTATTCTGTGATCAGCCTTCGGTGCTTTCCTTAACAATTGTAGCGCTCTTTCGCCGAAACTTCCTCGGACATTTTTAATTTCTTATTTATATCAAACCACCAAACATGTATTATTCTAGTGGACATGTAAAATATATATGGGGTCAAATCAACAATTCAATAACCTTAATAACCCTTAACGTTTCTAACTCAACATCGTTACCATGGTAACAATACTTTAGCCAGTTTTTTATATGTGAAACATGTTGGCTTAGTAGCTTAAGCGTGCGCCTTTACACCCTGATGTCGTGCATTCGGTACACGGCTGTTCACCAATGGATTTTTCATTCACTAGCTTCGACGTCAGCCACAGAAGGCTGATTGCCTATTACAAAATAACCTAATAAAATTTAGCGCCACTGTTTTTTTACGTAGTTACATGATTGCTCTTGAATCCAACATTTTCGGAGAACTATTGTGTTCCACTGCATTTACTGTTAAAAAAATCTCCGCTGCAGGTGATGCATAATTTGCGTAACTGTTTACATATCATTTCTTTATAATGGTTCTTCGGACTAGCGCTGACTCTTCCATTAATAATAACGATCACCATAGAGACCTAGACTTTTTTGACTAGACTTAGACTTTAACTTGAAACCTTAACTTTTAGTTAAGGTTTCAAGTTAAAACAATATAATGTAAAACTTACAGAGGCCATACTTTGAACACCGACAGGCAACACCCCCATACATGTGATATGCATTGTTGTCTGAATTCTATTGAGGAAAATTAAAAGCGTCTTCTGATTTTTCAAATCCATGCATTGCCACGGCAAATTGTATACATTGTCCTTAAGCTGTTCACTCTGTAATCAAAGGAATTTTCCCAGAAATTTTACATTGCTTGTTGCCTGTAAATCAATATTTTATACTAGAATAGGTTTACGTCACTATCTTCCCCGTGTGTAATTATGATTTTAGTTTTAATGAACGTGGTAAAACATTTTATAAATTTTCGGTGTTTTGATTAACAGGATTCAATTGCATGAAAAATATGTATATATGTTAGTTTTGCTTTTAAGGAATTAGATACTAATATTTTACATAGACGAATAACGATTTTTATTTTGCTTCGAGCTTTTGTAACTTTTAAATCTCTATAACTGATTTTTCTATATGGACCCGATCAGAATCCCGCGCCAAACCAAAACAACCCAAGGTTTTCAAACAAAACACATTCAATAACACGCTAATACCCGCCCGCTCATATAATAGCTTGATACCATAGAGCCGACAATTTCGAAAATAATGGATATTTCTAAAAGCTGCGATACTGCGATAATCGTTAACGGTCCAAAACGAGCCAATGATTCAGAATTCTGAAACAAAATAAAATTAATATAATACATTAAGTACTACTTAACACGTAATTTTTAATTTTAAAATTCCTCCAAACAACAAATATCAAACTTTGTCGTCGCTGTACTGCATTTCGTTGTTTTGACAGTTAATTAAAACAATCACCCCAATAACAAAAAAAATAAAAAAAACATCCCATCCCCCATTTCCATTATCATATCTGATCCATTAAAAGACAAACTCGCATAACCACATCAATAGGATAGGCAGACGCATTTATATTTTTTTTTTACATTACCGTGCAATAAAACCGTACTTCTTGTTTTGGTGCCTGTCCGTTACTGGAGGTTGACTGACTTGTGAAGCGTGTTTTTTCCTGTGCCAGAAACAATTCTTTCGCTGTCACTCCCTAACATTACGCTATAGTTTTTTCCAGCACACATTTTAATAGAAGGAGGTGGTAGCGGTAATAACGGAACTTACATCCGTTGAATTTGATTGTCTATATTTTAAGCCGAAGCCATTGTAGATCACAATTATTTTTGAAATACTCTCTAATCTATGCTATGAGAAATTAATCATCTATAACATGTTAAGTTTATTAACTGAGGACTACAACATAATTATATATCTTACCAATTGTGAACACTCGAGAAACAAAAGACAAAATCCGGTGACATCAAAGAAGTAAACCAATCCCATCATTGGTCCGAAAAATGATGAGATATCGTCTACAAAACTAAAAATAAATACAAAATAGGTTTATAGAGATTGTTTTTCACTGATCGTTATTCTATAGCGTGAAAAACAATTAACAATATTTTCCAATAAGTCAGTGATGGCGGGAGGGAGACGGGGCGGGGCGCGTCAGGAAAATAGTCACCTGGAAATCACGGTAATTATCAACAGACACTTCGAGCTCTAATTATATTTATTCATGCTACAATTTTACACAGAAACTATATAAGTATATTTATGTATTATTTACTTTGCACAGACTATCAACAGTTATACAACACAAAAACAATGAATGCTAAATAGAAGTATATTAATTTATCAAATAACACACAAATCTGTATTTTTGTCAGACATAAACTACGCCAAACATATCTTAAAGGCGCCATTTATTTTTTTCAGACGTTTTTAAATTATTGTTAGTTATATTATTGAATATACCATGAGATAAAAAGATTTTCCTTCTCAAAAGTAAAAAATTAATATTCTTGGTGTTTGTGAAAAAATAATTTTATATCTAACAACTCCGAGGTCCCATCGGAACTAGGTACTAAGAGGGCTCTCCATTTGTTTAATTAAAAAATGTTCTAGTCGGCTGTAGATGTTGTTATTTAAATTGCAATATAATCATAATATCTACTTGCAATTTATCTCAAGAATCTAATTAATTCACGTTTATATACGTTTAAAACGTATTATTTAGTATTGGTACGTTTTGAAGCATTCATACCATAAATTTGACATAAACATTCCTGGTTGCTAATAGATTAATTTTAAATGAGTTACACGCTTACCAAAGAATATATCGGTGATGAAGTACATTCTCCATCAGCAGACAATGTATGTATGCGTTTTCATCGATCGAATATTTTTCAACCGTTACGCTCACTTCTCCAGTTAAGTGTAACACGCTTATTTTTTTCGGTTTCGGAAAATCATCGAGGTTATATTGCAAAACCAATTGATGGCCGACAATTTGAAAACACATAAGGATGAGTAGTAAATCCAGAGTGCACACAATAACAGTGCAGGCGTAGGAAAAATACAAATTTAATAGTGTAACGAGTATAAAATTTTCTTCTGGCTTAAAACCGGGATACTCGTAGTATACAGAGAAACGTAGCGTTATGTTTTGTGGGCGCGGGTTCTGGAATGCCCCACTCGTTACATTGGTCCAAAATGGGGATAAATTGAAAAGAATAACGCCTAACCATATTATTGGTATCATTCCCAGCGTATAATAATTAGAGATTTTGTTTATTCGATCTGCCACCTTAAATAAATATCATAATGGCACTCATTAAAATGTTTCATTCAAAGTTTGGTACTTGTACTATGGATACAGTTCCCGTTACTAATTATAAGTTTTTTGTATTAAATTATATGCTCCAAGGAAAAACATGAAGCAGCTCAAAAAACATTTTGTAAAACAAAAAAGTTGGCGGTTAAAAAGAGTAGCGGCGGTTTCACTTTCTTTTATTTTTCTCCGTTCTACGCTCTTCGTTGGAGAACTGGCAGTGAATGCAATTTTAGATGCGTTATTATCTATTTTTCACATAAATGATATTAAAACGTGTCAGACACGCAGAAGACTTTATGCTAGCGTAAAAATTGTCCATGCTAAATCTTACAAAGCTAGACCCACTCGTCTAAGATTGGATGTGTAAGAAAAGATTTACAAATATGTATTTTTGCGTATGAATTCACCTAATTTATAGAAATAAATACCTTTTTATAATTCCCTCCACATTGCATAAAGTTTCCCAAATGAAATTCCTTAATAAACCTTCTCCATATAACTCCATAAAATTTTAAGTTAGGGTACAACACACGTGCCTAAAAATGACAAATTAATTCGAAGAAACAATTAATTCAACAAAAAGTTCAATATAAATAAAATCTTGATGCAATTACACAAGGCATTTTCTTTCCTGTACACCTACCACAGCCACAGCTATATTTGTTATAATAATCACAGGGTTATATAGCGCCTCTTATAACAATAGTGGTTAACCAGCAAAATTTACGTTCCAAGTTCAAGTCTCAGCCTAACAATAAGTTAAAAAGTCCATAAACTTTTTCGTTTCAAAAACAATTTGTACCCTATTTGTACCCTTTAAGAGAAATTAATTTTTATTTCTTAATGCTCAGTCTCTAAGTAAAAGAAAATATTACTTACAAAAGTTATAAAAGTTAAAAGAGTATTTATGAGAACCTCTCCGAGACTGTAAAAATCGATAGTCCCATACCGCTGTACCAAATAATAGATTTCACCCATAAATACTATGATAGCTTGTAGCGGAACTAGCTTTATGAAGTAGTCATAGAATTTGGACATTTTCTCATCTAACATATTACCAGGCCATATTCCCAAACAGTAGGAAAATAGACGCAAAGTTCTCATGTATCTGTACTTTAAAGGATTTTCATTCCTGAAAATTAAGCATCTGTCCGTTAGTCATATAAACCCACCTTTCTCATTTCATCACAGCGTATATATCATTTGTTAGAAAGAGACGAGATAATACTTTAGTTACTAAAGTTTTTTACTAAAGTTTAGTAAAAAGAGTTTATGCAATGCTATTAGGCATTTTATTGAGTGAAGAGAGGTGGTCTCTAGCTTCATTCATCTGCATTTTATTGGCTTGGATATTGCAAAGTTTTATAATGATTAATTTCTAGACTTTATATGTGCCTAACTGAACTCTTTCGCAAAGAAAGAAAATTGATTACACTTTATAAAAACATTAATAATTGCCCTAGCCTGCGGCGTGAGCAGCGAATCCCTTCCATTTCACTTGCAACAAATACTAAACAACACTTAAACTTTATTAGTTGAATACTGTTGGACAAGAATTATAGATTTACTTTGCACTTAAAAACAAATAGAAGAAGAATGCGATTAAAAACATCCATAATTCATCTTACGAACCACACCAAGTGTCATCCGCGAATCCTTATCGCGTAACTTAACACGGACATACAGAACTACATATTCAAACGATACAATCAAACAGAAAGCCCCCGCTGGCCAAGATTAAAAAGCACTCAAAACTCGTAGATAATTAATTTATGTATTCGCTGTGCGTTTCAAAAGTTTTATATTAATAATTTAATTTATTACAAATAGATTTTAATATACATACTCAGGATTACTTTTATCGATAGCGGTGTCCATTGTAAAATCAATAATACTGTAACCTTTATGAATAATACTTACAGTTTTATAGTTATTTTGTTGACCTTTAATTTGTTAAGCGTGCAATCAGATTAATCGCTCAGAAATAATTCAAAGGCTGCAAAAATTAAAAAAAATATAAAACTAATAAGTTTCTTGAATTGAAACCTTAGGTTATCAGTATTATCAAGGAACTTGTGAAACTAGATTCTCTGCATCAAATGGAACAAAGGCAGAGTTCATGGAAATATGCTAACATTTATGATTGTATGGTTGCCGCTTTTACAATCTTTCGCCTGCTCTGCGCTAATGCGAGGGAGGCGGGACTCTCCATAGATATCTATCCAATTTGTTTTACACGAAAATATTTCTTATGGAAAAAATAATTGTGGTGAAATAAGCATTTAAAAATTGATAAAGAATTTAACTTTTACGAGGTCCACTAAGTTGTGTATGCGCTAAATATATAATAGCCGAATTTACGTTACCATACCTACTTTACGAGATTATGTATAGTCATGGGGCACATTTATGTAATTTGTGATACTGTTAACGTCGTCTTTGCTCATGTTTATCCGTTCTTCTCTCGGGTGGACATCGGCCAGTTCGGGCAGAGCCCCCGCCGGCGGTGTAATTGTTCGCGGATGACACTTGGTGTCATGGAGACGAGCAGTGTCCGGCTCGACTTGTCTCAATCGTTGTCTTGATTCATCCGTTTTAAAAGGGGCCGGGCAGATTCGCGGCGCGTGTCCGACGCGGCCGACGGCGAGATGACTCTGTTAACGTATATTTTTGTACAAGATTAAAGGGCTCATATTCCCAATGGTTAAATCCAAGTAAGACATTGACCACATCGTACAGATTGTAGGCCAATTTTAGGTGTCTAAAGACAGTGTTATTACGATGTATCAGATGCATGCATATTGTCAAGCGACGGGACAGTTTTTTAAAGTGGACGTTTCAGAATTCTGTTATTTTGTTAATAAAACACGATTAAAAAACAAAAGATAGGAAAATATTAGTACTGATATTTAATTTAGAGCTAACGGTAGGGTAACGATAACTTCATAGATTCAAGTAGAATTTATAAAGCGCTCGCATAGCTCCGAAAATAACTGTAAATTAATCGGCTTTAGATAAGTAACAAATAATTAATCGGCTTATTCTCCGACTTATTATGAAGATCTATTACTACGAAAAAGTATTTTTAATTGTTCTTATTAATTTCCGCGAAAATTTATAGCTTATAACCCTTATAAATTTCGTGGAAGCAATTAAGCATTTCAGTAGAGCCAGACTTACCTCCTTCATAAACTTTATAATATCTTTATAATATGAAGCTCAGAACAGTGGCAAGTGCTACTACGGTTAAAATTTTAAAAAAAAACCTAAATTTTGGGGCCCTGTATAAGATGTATGTAAATCAATATAAATTTTTCGTAATTATAGTCACTGGAATTATTAGCTAAGCATTAGGTAATTTAATCTAATTAACGATAACTCTTTGTAAACATTTGCTCGATTCTCATATTATAAATTAAATTATTTAATCGCTAGTATTCGCGTGCATCTTCGCCCGCGATTTTGAGTTTTTGTTATTTTTGTTTTGTTATTTGGCAAGATATTCGACCTCTTCAATGATAATCCTATATAACCTAAGGATTCATTTCATCTAACACGACATACCAGAAAATTATAAATTAAAATGATTGCTCTTATATAAATAAACTTGTAATTGTAATTAATGTTTTCGTAACAGCTACTGCCATCTATCAAGTTGACAACACCAAGCGCGTTCAAAAACTTTCGCACAGTACTTTCGCAAACAAATATAATAAAATATACATGTTGATTTTATTATATTAAGATATTATTGTGTTTAATATAAATTTTAGCTTCTACATACGATAATAAAAAAATCAATGTTTATTTGGTTGTATTTTTTTCCCGTTGAATACCGCCATCTATGAGCAAATAAAAAACTACGTTGACACAGAACGGTAACAGAACACAAATACATAAAATACACATATGGGTTTTTAATATATTAAGATAGGTATTCAGTTTAATATAAATTTTAGCTTCTACATACGATAGTAAAAAAATCAATATTTTTTGGTTGTATTTTTTTCCCGTTAAATACCGCTATCTATGAACAAATAAAAACTACTTTGACACAGAATGGTAACAGAACACAAATACATAAAATACACATATGGGTTTTTAGTATATTAAGATATTGAGTTTAATATAAATTTTAGCTTCTACATACGATAATAAAAAAAATCAATGTTTATTTGGTTGTATTTTTTCCCCGTTGAATACCGCCATCTATGAGCAAATAAAAAACTACGTTGACACAGAACGGTAACAGAACACAAATACATAAAATACACATATTAGTTTTTAATATATTAAGATATTGAGTTTAATATAAATTTTAGCTTCTACATACGATAATTTAAAAAATCAATGTTTATTTGGTTGTATTTTTTGCCCGTTGAATACCGCCATCTATGAGCAAATCAAAAAACTCAGACTCAGACACAGAACGGTAAGAGAACACAAATTATACCATCGATTTCACCGTTGCATTTCAAGAATTATATATATATATATACGTATATACGGTACGCTCTATATTTTCAATAATTTACTTTTCACATATTACTTTTAATAATATCTAAGGACTCATTTCACCTAACTCGACTTACCAGAAAATTATAAATTAAGATGATTGCTCTTAATAAGTTCTAAACTTGTAAGAATCAATGTTATCGAAACAGCTACTGCCATCTGTTAAGTCGACAACACCAAGCGCGTTCAAAAACTTTTGCACAGTACTTTCGCAGACCAAGATATTTTAAGGTAATTCACGACCTCTTCCAATCCAAATATAATAAAATACTCATGTAGATTTTATAAGATTTAGATTATGATATTATTGTGTTAAATACAAATTTTAGCTTCTACATACGATGATAAAAATAATCAATGTTTATTTGGTTGTATTTTTTTCCTGTTGTATGCCGTCATCTATGAGCCAATCACAAAACTACGTTGACACAGAACGGTAAGAGAACACAAATACCATCGATTTCACCGTTGCATTTCAAGAATTATACATTAAACTTATTTTTACCTTATCAGTGCTCTACATTTCCGATACTATACTTTTGACATATTACTTTTGTCTTGCTCCTTTTCAGGCAATAATCATAGAGAGTAATAATATATTCCAGACTAACTTGTTCATAACTTGTATGTTGACAAATATTTTGACATAACGGAGTCATATTTAAGGATAAGTTGCAAAGTGGCACAAAATGGTCACAATAGAAAACGTGAGCCAATGTCATACCCATAGAAATTAATTTAGCTCTAGTAGGTCACGCCTGTCGTAAAGTGATTTTGTCTCAAGCCCTTTTTAATACTTGCCCTATTTGTTGATGTTTACCGTAATATCGTATTTTACCAAATATTTAACTTTTATTATTATTAAATCAAATGCTAATAAATACTTTGGATTATCAGAACTACTTACAATAAAACCTTTAAAATATTAGTAGGTAAATGTCTTAAGTTATAATAAAAACAAAAGGGGAGTACAACGTTTTAATAAATTTTTCAGATAGGTTAATTCTAACATTATACCCGGACGTTGTAGAGCAAAAAAGAGAGCAGTTAATGTTTTGTAAATCAGGGAAATTTAATGTAGAGGAACGGCTAAGTGAGAGCACACATGAGGATATTTCAAGGTGTGATTTAAATTATATACTACTTTGCGCTTTTAGAGCTATTTTCAGATATATTTACAACGAGTTAGCATCAAAAACCCTTCATAAGTTTTTCTTAAATTCTGTATTTTATCCCACATTAAATCCACACATACTTTTCTTTATCCCACAACTTTATTAAGGCACATGTTTTCTTGCAGACAATAATTCAATTCAATTATTTCCCCGGTTACGTTTGATTGGGGATTTCAGATGATAAGCGTGAATATTGTCAAAATGACATTTCAATGTACATCATATTATATTTTTGAAGTTATACTTCTTTAGGCGCGTTATGAAAAATTTATGAGAGTGAAATTTTACGATGCGCGCGCACCTGTGACACAAAATTCGGATATATAGCGTGCGCGAGCGAGATAGGAATAAGACAATCTACAAGTAAAAAGAAATAGAATATGCGTGAAGTTCGTATGCCAAGAATTTTGAATGACCATAATGACATTTGTCATTTACCTTTTAAACAAATAAAGGAGTTTTGATTAATTTTTCAAAGAAATTTATTAATTTTATATTGTGCAATACTGCCAAAGCTACAACATACTTCTTAGTGTTTGGTAGAGATGTTCTAAATATACCTATAATTATATATACTTTTAACTAAATAGAATTTATGTTACACTTAATGTAAGAGAATAATAATAAATAATTATTTATTTAATTTTTCAAATGTAAACTGAACTTAATTGACTATAATGACTCCTTTTCCAGTCTTTGATTATTTAATTGTAATTAATTATTTGCATGCAATCAAAAACTATTTTTAATAATGCCAAAGAAGTATAACTTCTTACGCACGTACATAAGTACACGCACCCTTTTATTATAATTAGGATTTGGAATTCAAAGATTAATTTTTGTAAGTTAGCTTTATGTTGTAACGGAAAATTTTAATTCTTCGAGTTTAATAATTAAGTCGTATCAGAATGTCAAGTCAATGTCAAAGCTAAATCAAGTTTTAAGAGCAGGCAAAGCATTTTTTCTGTAAAAATTGGTCATATTTGGACTTAAGACCAGATTATGTTCTCATAAGGCAAATTTGTACTGAAAATAAGACTTGGCTTAAAGGTGTCGTTACCAGGAGGCTTAGTCAAGATGCCGTAACAGTAGTGTATGTAGAAAGTCGAAAACTAAATTTGAGTGAAAACTTTTCGACACAAACTGTCATTTCCATACAAATTTATTTTTCGACTTTCTACATAGTACATACACTACTGTTAAGGCATCTTGACTAACACCCCAGGCCATAAAATTAAAAAAAAATCTAATTTGTACTCTATTACTCAGACTCCTTTCTTGTGTCGATGGTCATCCAATGTATCTATAAAAAAAAGTAAAGAACTGCAGGCTGGGCGCAAACTGCTTTGCAAATGGCGTACCAAGAAATTTTAAATTAAGTGTTGTAGTGTTTAATGAAGGTAATGTAGACATTTTTAGTTAGAACAAAACGTAAGTACATATTTCCAACAAAATTCAAAATTATGTGTTATGCATCATTTATCGACGATGTAAAAATATTATATTAGAATATTATATTTTCCTAAATAACGGTATTGTCTTGTATTGGACCCCACATAATTAAAAAGGGGCATTAAGTAACGAGTCTATGTGTTTTGTTTTATTTCATATTTTCCAAGAACAAAGATTTCAATACATGTAGGCAGTTGATGAAAGTACATGATCTATTAATAAAACAGTCATTCACCCACTATTCACAACTTCTTAGTTCGTTACCTGTTTGATATAAAAGTATACAAATTATTATATGCTCTAACTTTAGCGAAAGTTTCTCATTTGGTTAATAAAATTTTGTTGAGGTCACTAATTGTATGCTATCTTTGAACTGTTGAATGATTTTGCGTACAAAATCGTAACAAAAACAGTAAACAATTGTACTTGAGTAATTTAGAAAACAGAATTTGTTTGAATATGATTTTAGTGACTACTAAAATCTAATTTCAGTTCGACACGTTCTTTATTATTGTTGAAGCTTAAGTTAATTATTTAGAAAAGTGTTCATTATAATGTGTATAAGAAACACAAGCAATACCATTTAAAATTTTGATCTTTAATAAAGATAGCTAGTTGCTTTGCAGTATCTCTATTAATTACCAAGATTTATTAGGTGAATCATAAGGTAACATTATTATGTCTATTAAGATTTTACCCCTAAAATATTATATTCTTTTTGTGTCGCTATCGCTGTTATTTTATAAAGTCCATATATTTTGTTGGTATTTGTTTCCTATCTCTTCTCTATACCTCATCGATTTTCTGAAACCGTATTAATCTTTCTGAAGTAATTAAAAGGATCTCTTAACGTAAACACGAGTCTTGCACCACCACATTCTGTTGATTGACAGTGTGGCCTCATTGATAGTACTCCTATAATTACCACACAATCATATTTCTCCAGATTTTGCTGTACTGGTGTAGCCCATTGGCCTATTGACCTTTGTTCACTTTCGTGAACTAACCAACCTATCTCCTTTTCAACATCAATTTTTATAGCGACTGGATAGGCCTTAAGAAATTTAGACTTTAGCATCTTTAAATCTATAGTAACTGTGTGATCTTTGTATGTACTGATTCCTTCTTTGAAAACATCAGAATTTTTTTTTAATATTGATGGTACTTCTTCCTTAAAAAATAAGTTTATTGTATTTATAGAAACATTTAAAGAAACCTTAATTCTAGTAACACTCACCTCAACTCGTACTCCCATTAACACTACTGAAGGAAGGTTCTGTCCATATCCTAAGACTTTATTTAAAAAGTTACAACCAAAGGCAGGTTTTGGGTAATCAATTTCCAAGTTTTCTTATTTATTTTAAAAAGAACTTGCTCCTATATCTGTTTGTACTGTATATTATTATTATTTATTTGTTCAGATAAAATAATCCATCATTATGTTAGTATACTTTGCACATTAAGAATAACTAGTAATGGTGGTATACAATTTGCTTCAAAACAAAACTTTAACGGTTTAATGTAATTGTCCCAAGAAATTTTACTAATCCTCATCCAATTCTCAATTTTTTTATCTCGTCGCCACAATTAAGTATTTTAATAATACTGCACATGCAGACCAAAGCATTTATTGACGTTGTAGCCATAATTGAAGTGACAGTATGACAGACAGTATGTCAATACTTGACAAAATATTATTAAAATGCAATAAAAGGAAGTAGGTACCCACATCCATACACAACACATTGTTCCCTTATCCCTACGACTGACAATTGTTTGACTATTCTAGTTAAAAATAATAATATTTTTTTAAAATTGTGTATTGGCCATTGAACCTTTGCCTTTGTGTTACAGTCTAAATAGTAAATTTATGTGAATTAAAAACTGTTGGTGTTTTATGAGTAACATGCATGCAAATTGATATTGTTAACACTAGTGAAAAGTTACTACTTCGATTAATTGTATACGAGCTGCCCCGCCCTTGCACGGGCAAGGGTTTGACTTGTAAAACCTTGAAAAATTATATAAGTTTTCAAGGTTTACAGGTCCTCCTGAATCATTCTACATTTTGGTGAACAATAAATAACATGCAGTATTTTTTGACTGCGGACAGTGGAGGACTTTTTTTATAAAACAAAAATGTTCGACATATGCTGTCTTTGACTTTTTGTAGTGCATTATCAAACTCCAACTTTTCGCTAAGGCAACTTTCGTTTTCGTTCGCCCGCTTTTTCTTCGACTTTACCAATCCGACTACCACATTTATTTTCTCCTGTTTCGGTTTAAAATATAGACACAAATAACGTGGTTGGTAAAAGAATTTACGGGTCAGTAGTTCCAGAGAACTACTTCCTACATCTTTTCAAACTACTTAGACTATTAGTGTAGGTATATGTAATTTACATAATATAAACAGATTAAACAGCTAAGTTTTTTAAAATATCATGTTAAACCACGAAGATATTCTGTTTTAAGTCCCGTAATTTATTGACGTTTTGGTTTGTTGAACTCATATAACATACATATCTTATTAACCAAATTTTCTAATGCTTTCACTAAACTGAACTGCTACTATTGCAGTTATAATAATTACCACATCCACAACTTTCACCAACTGTGCAATTGTTGTGAAATAATTTTATTTGATATGATATTAATTTTTAAAACGACTTCAAATAAACCGAAAGAAAAAAAATACAAATTTTACTCGAATATTTTTCGTGCGTATTTTTTAAACCGTGTGTGAAAAAAATCCAGTGGTCAACCTTGGTCTGGACTTTGTTGGTTCTGTCGGTAGATATGTGCAACTGTTTCGTGATCATTTGTTTTTTTCTAATGGGCATGTAAGTGATCAACCCTTGTGCCTGACACACGCTGTCGACTATTTGGGTTTCTTCACGATATTTTCCTTCATCTCCAAGCTAGAGCTGCACAGTCTGGATAGAATCTCAGGCATGAGAGACGCACGCTAAGGCCACAAGGCCAACACACACTGCTCCATAGTGATCCGCTTGTAAAAATAATTTAAAAAAATATTTAAATTAATAAATTTTAGTTCTTTGTAAGCGCAAGTGTGTGCTTAACACTTGCGAGCCTATTGGCAATGTGAGTGTCACTTAACATCAGGTGAGTCTCGCCTTCTCTACAAATTTTTCTCGGAAGGGAAACGTAGACCTACTCCATCAATAAATTGGTTGGCTAAATGAGCTATAGAGATTGTTAAATTAAATTAATAAATTTAAAAATATGTATATAACAATAAAAGAAATACAGTCTTGTAATTAATTAATTGTATGTATATTTTGTTTCAGCATACAAATACTACGAGGAGCCGCCAAATAATAACTTCGTAGTAAATGTTGAACGGCTATTATCTGTAAGTGTACCCGAATTCGTATTTGTTATATTCTTCAGTCAATAATAATAAATAATATTTATGTGATTAAGTAAATTATCCCTATTTTTCGTTACTAGATTCATATATTTCAATAGGTTAACCTTTTTTCTAGATAAAAATGGCGATGGAAGTGGAGTACTCGACCAGGGAAAGGCATTTGGCTGGGCAATTGTTTGATTATTTTTGCACTACCCAGAGTATGAAGGAAATTCTATCGTCGTATACACTGCTGTGCGACGTACTCAGGTTGAAGCCTAATAGATTAAATGAATTTTACCCGAAGCTTAAGGTTAGTAATGTCGTTTATATTGCATATTTCACGAAGGTTTCAATTGGTCAATAAGGCGAAGACACTATTTGATATGTATTTTTTTTATTTGACATTTTCATTTTATGATTAGTGTTTATAGGCACACCGCAAATTTTTAAGTTGACTCCCACTTTCTGGAACAGTCAGTCAGAAAATATTTATTCTAAAAGTCGTTTTGCAAGGTCAAGTCTATTAATCAATTTATGCTGAACTCAAGCTTTTAGCAAGTATTTACACTTGACAAGAGATTTGACGCTTCATTAGTAAATTTTACGTTAGCTAAAAGTTATGTTTTTCAGAGAATAATGGTTTTAGTCTAATTGTGAAACATTTGTTTTAAATGGAAGAGATATGACGTTTTCCCTATATACAATAATTTAATTACTGAATTTGCAAAGTTTTAAGATGTTATGATTATTTACGATAAATTGTAGGTGACTGTTAAAAATATTTAATTATCTATCGGACACAAATAATTTAAAGATAACTTATGATATCGATATACACGTTGCAAAAAATCAATGATAATATATATTTCATTAATACTCGTATTATTGTTGTGTATTTTTATTCATGGCTTGATATTTCTTTACATATTAATTTGTACCTAAAATATTTTCCATTGTACTTGCTTGCAAATGTCTAGCTAATACTCATAATTTTATTTATAATCAGATGATCCATCTTGTTCAGATCATCCATATCTGTGTATTTAACTACCAATGGAAAAAAGATTTGCTGAAAAATCAAACTTTTCAAACGGGTTCAATCCGCTTACCTATTACCACTAAGCCATGTGATACTATGTATCATGCGCAGCAACGTTCGCAGGCTTTATTTAGAAATTATTGAGATTTTGTCAGTAATTTTTATGAATGATTCTAAATTCACTGTAAAAATTATTGTTATCTAATTTCCGTTCCAGTTGGAATTTTTGCCTTTCATCAAAAATATTACTACTTGTCTAGAACAAGCCATGATGATGATTTTTTGAAAGAAGTTATTGCAAGTTGCGAACGTATTTCTTTTTTGTTTTAACGTTATGGCGATTTTAATGCATATTTTCCGAATCACAGCTGTGTTAGATTTTTGTGACAGGATTTTCATCAATATTCACTTTTAATCAAGTAAAAATTTCATCAATTTTTTCAGGCCATATTGAGTAATAATTGGAAAGCCCAGGCGCTGTTCACGAAATTTGATGAAAGAGCGAACCATAAAGAATATCAAAAGGGCAAAGCATGTTCAAAAACGCGTGTTCTAATAATTGGTGCGGGCCCCGCTGGTCTGAAAATGGCAATAGAATGCCAGTTACTAGGCGCAAAAGTGGTAAGTACCCACAAATTATTTAAGGAGTTGCTTACATTTAGGTTCTTACCTCCCACGGCCTAATTACCATCAAAACTCAGTGTTAAACAGTGATAGTGCCGTTTATTAACTGTATTGGTACATTAACTAATATTTAAAAACGTTTTAAGAAGATTCAACTTCAACATCTAATGCCTGCATTAGTACTCTGTAACTCACTTCAATGGTGAATTTTGTAGCGCCCGATTATAAGCGCTACGGATATATATAACTATATCGAAATTGCATACACACGTCTGGATCGCTGGCGCTATCGCTATTTAAACTTACAGAGTACCCGTACTGATTAGTTGAGGACTAGTAGATATTTAAATATATAGTGCGTGGTATTCAATTTACCGTATTACAGACTACTTTTAATGATACAAATAGTGGAAATGCCTGTAATAAATGTACTGCCGTAGTTACCCAACTTATAATATTTAAGTTATTTTTATTTACAGTTTAAGTTAAAACTCTGTGTTGTTAATATTCAAACGAAATCGTATATTACTTTAATATGTAAACTAAAAGTCAAAGCGCATATTTTACTCTACATTATATCTTTGAATAAATTCCATTGTAATGACCGATAAGCCCCTTACCAATAAACGCCTAAAATTTTTAAAACAGCGTATAATACGTTTTTAGTGTATACATCTCGGACCGCTAGTAAACCTCTTTAACAATAAAATTTATCATCAGCGTTAAAATATTATTAAGAGATTTTGTTGTAATGGACGTATTTATAACACAATTGAAGGATGTTAACAAAAAAAAATATAATATTTTATTTCCGCTACGGGACGACGAGTTCTATATGCAATTTCTAAATTTTCTATAAATAAAAAAAAAATTGGATATTCAACGTTAATTAAACAATTCAAAAGTTAAATTTTGAATAATAACTGATCCACGAAATAGCGTAGTTAAACAACTATTACATCAATAATATAGTGTTTGCTCAGTAAACGCATATGTATTCCTTATACTATGTTAGTCAAAGAATCTTAATACCGCTATGGCAGCTGGTTATGACTCAATAACTTCCGAAGTTTACCCACCTTGAAGATTTATCATTTGCACAAGGTATTTTACCTAGTTACTTTTATAACGATTATAAAACCAATAAAATTATAAAAAACTTAAGCCGAAGTACTTGAGAAACTTGCACAATATGCAAATTTCCTTCTAGGTAAATTCAGTGTTATAAATATTCAACGGTACTGTTTTCAAAAATATCAATATTACAGATTTCTAAGCATTCGATTGCGTAGCATTCTTCAAAAATGTTGGAGGCTAGTTTCACAATGTCTGTAAAGTTACCAAACGAAATAATCAATGTAATCAGTTATGTTGATATAACACACTCTCCTAATATTTGTCATAAAGGCGTTATTCTTGCAAGCACCACACTGTATTAAAAAAATTGCTACGCTATGGCAATCACACTATTTTCTACTAGTGTAGTACTGTGAAGGAAGGAATGTAAAGTATGATTCTTAGGCTCAATGTTAGTGTGCTATATGTGAGAGAACTTGTAGGTTATAAGTTTTAACATAGGTAGAACACACTATGACATTTAAAATTTAATTGATTTTAATTATAGTTAACAACGCGCTTCCTAACAAAAATGTAAACTGCCATACTTTGAACTATATTATATATCAGAAAAATAACTAAAAGCTAACAATAAATATTCAAACACAGGTGCTGATAGAGAAAAGGGAAGAGTTTTCGAGAAATAACGTAATCCATTTATGGCCGTTTGTAATACAAGATCTAAACAACCTTGGGGCCAAAACGTTTTACGGAAAATTTTGCGCCGGTTCTATCAATCACATTAGCATAAGACGGCTACAATTTATTTTACTAAAGGTATGTATAACAAGCTAATGTTACAAAAAAAATCATTCAGCGCCACTGAGATCTAGTTATATTGTGCCTTTATATCGATAATAATAACGAGTTTCTTAATACTTTCTATTCCTAACTCAGAATGGACACTTGCGTGACTCGTCGTCAGTAATATAATGTTTTTGTAAATAAATTTTAGATGGCACTTCTGTTAGGGGTTGAAGTACACCAAGGCATTGCCTTCGATGATCTTGTGGAGCCAGAAATAAGTGAGGACGATGAAAGTAAGTAAATCATTTTACTGCATAAGCTAATGTAATGAATATGAAATAATATTTGCGTGTAATGATGGTCATAAATGGTAGAATTACTATATTTTATATTAATTAAAATCGAGTCACTATTGAGCAATACCAATTTTATAAAGGTTTTAGTGAAACCCCGGTGCGCTTGGTGCTCTTTATGCAACTAATTATTTGAAGGTATTAAGAGCATTTATTCAAGCTGTGATTCGTTTATTAATATATATATATATATTATATGTGCCGATACGACTTATGGGCCTTCAAAAGAGTACTCTCCCTTAAAGGTACACGCTCGGAATTGCAGGTGTCCATGGGCGGCAGTTAGCACTTTATTCAGAATAATATCGGTTGTACGTTTGCATATATATTTATCGTTATATATTTTGTTAACACCAAATTTTGTGTAGTTACAGGATGGCGGGCGTTATTACAACCAAGAACACACCCTGTTTCACAATACGAATTTGACGTGCTAATTGGTGCTGATGGGCGACGAAACTCGCTACGAGGATTTGAGAAGAACGTTTTACGTACAAAATTGTGTATTGGCATAACTGTCAATTTCATTAATCGAAATACTGAGGAGGAGGCGGCGGTAAGATTTTTTGTCCGTGTCAACTATAATGTTTCGGTCTTTGTTAATATCTGTCAAGTTTCGGTCTTTGTTAATATCTGTCAAGTTTCGGTCTTTGTTAATATCTGTCAAGTTTCGGTCTTTGTTAATATCTGTCAAGTTTCGGTCTTTCTTAATATCCGTCTTGAGGTTTTCTTTGTTCTGAATAATGCGTATGTGTATAAAAAAACGTTTTTTTTTTGTTTAGGTATGGGTTTTAATTATTGCTCTTTGGTTCATGCACGTACCAATATCGTTCAATATTCTAATAAAATAGCTTAAGTTTATTTCGCATTCAAAATCACTAACTACCCAATTTAAGACTAAACAAGCGTTGCATTTGTTTCGTGTATTTTTTTTCTTAATAGACATGTAGGTGATCTTCCTTCTATACCCCCTAGTTAAATGCCCACAGAAACTGTCCGTTGCACCTTATTCACCATTTTCATTTTAAACTTTTTAGGTGAATGAAATTGGTGGCCTCAGTTATATATTTGCCCAACAATTTTTTAAAGATATAGAAAGTGCTACGGGTATAGACCTAGAGAATATAACCTATTATAAAGATGAGACGCATTATTTTGTAATGACAGCGAAAAAAAGTAGTCTTATTAAAAAGGGCGTACTGTTAAGGGTAAGTTATAAAATTTGTTGAATTTAATATTTGATGTGTGATACCCTTTATAGGTCGCGTTGAACAATCTTTACCGTATGAGCAAGTGCTGCAAGGGATGGAACTCACTATATTAGTGTTGTTTTTATATTAATTCTAGCAGACTCGGCCAAGCGGTGCTGTGGCTAAGGTTTTTGTTATATTACATAAGATTAAACTATTCAAGGGAAACGGTAGGAAATCACCAGTCATGAGGACCACCATACTTTATTGGTGGTTATGCCATTAAATTGTAGCTTATGTGAAACGTTGGTACTGTCAACACAGCGCCATCTGTTAGAATTGTGACTATCAAATAATAAACAAATATTTTGCAATAAAATAATATTGCGGATATAAATTGAGATGTAAACTATCCTATCTTTTAAGTTAGATCAAACTTTGCAAATTTGATTGATATCGGTTCCGTAATTTAGGAGTCCATAGAGGACAAACAACGTGACACGTAATTTATATATATTTAGATGATAACTATTTACTCATCTTTTTGTGTATTCTACATACTGTATACACACACAGTGCGTCTCTATTCTTTCAATATTTATCAGAGAAGACCAGAAGTCTTTTTCAATTAAAAATGTAAATCACGCTTTATATCGTTTTTCAGGACTACTTGAATGTACAAACTCTTTTAAGTAAAGAAAATGTATCAAGAGAAGCATTGATGAATTACGCACTCGAAGCGGCGCGTACCGCCACCAAAGGCCAAATTCCGAACATGACATTCGCAGTGAATCATTGCGGGGAACCTGATATAGCAATATTCGACTTTTCAACGTCTTATTCATCGGAAAATGCTTCCATCGTAAGTATATTGTATGTTATATAGAGTAAGCATAATTTGTTAGAAAGAGACGAATATTAAGCAGCAGGGCCGTAATTTTTGGGCAGTTGTCGATCAGTACCGGAACTAACTTGTATCTGAAGTTGAAACTCATTGTGGGGCAAAGTCTGTACGTTTTCCGCTAAAATTACTACCGCTTTCTAAATAAACCTAAATAAGCCTCTAAGAAGATTGGTGTGAAGCAAGGCAAGATGCTACTTCACTCCGGGCTATCGATTTAAGACCAAACTCTGCCCCATATGGAGTACTGTTCTTACCTCTGAGTGTGAACTCCCGAGTACCTCAACCCTCAACTATCCACTTAACGACGAGCTATTCAAATCGTCGGCGACCTGTGACTTTCTGCGCGGATTTATCCGTGTTTTTTTTTATAATTGGACAATTCACACCAATTGACTTAGTCCCATGCTAAGCTGGTGAAGCTTGTGTTATGGGTCTACTAGTCAACGGTTATACATACATATTATAGATAGATAGACATACATATAAATACATATTTAAACACCCAAGACCTACAACACCAAATGCTCATCACATCGATGTTTGTCTCAGCCGGGGATCGAACCCGGGACCCATAGATTCGCAGTCAGGGGTACTAACCACTAGACCAATGAGCCGTCAAATCCGTTGGTGTTACGAAGAAATGTGTGTTCGGACTATTACATGCAGCTGAATTTCATAATCGGTCGTTAAGGAAGAAAGCGAAATTTGACTCATATCATATCGTCTGTCGTTCCACATGTGTTCCATAGTTTAAATACCATTCCAATAAACTATGTGGAACCAGCTGCCCACAGCAGTATTTCCGAACTAATTCTTAGGACAAGCCTCCTGCCTCTTTGCATGTATTGTATTGAAGAAGTTGTAGAAAATTATGCAGAAATAATAATAGAAGCCAGTTAGCAAAAAAATAAAAAATGCAACATGGTATGGCATGTACCATGGTAGCATGGGCCCTCACTCGCCTATGAGTTTTGAAATATCATTGAAGATACGACAGTCCTCTCGCGAAGTCCTTAACAAGTTAAAATAGTATGTCCAAATCATGTTAATGAGTAGAAACGTAATGAAGTGAAACAATCAGTTCTCTTTTAACTTTTTTAAGAATACTAGTGGTAGTAAATAGTATTTATCATGGTCGGGTCACTTTGAATAATTTAAAGATTGTTTATCTTTTGCTAAGAACAAGAACTAAATTTTAGTAACACTAATTCACACTGCTCATCTTTTGATTTGATCAACTTTTGATGCTAATGTCTGGAGCAAGGATATTTGTGAAGGTTTTTGACGTTGAATTATTTTTTAGGTGTACGAGGTTATAGGAAAAAGATTGTTATGTCAGTTGATAGGCGACAGTCTGATGGAGCCATTTTGGCCCACCGGTTCGGGGTGTGCGAGGTGCTTCCTTTCAGCTATGGACGCGTCGTGGGCCGTACGAACGTGGTGCCAACGGCCGGAGAAGCATCCGCTGTTTGTCATAGCTGAAAGGGAAAGCATCTACAGATTACTGCGTGAGTACAAATATTAGAACTTTTTCGGTAAAAAGTATTTTCAGCTAAAGTTTGACCTTTATAGTTGGTAATTGTGTAATATTTAAGTGTGGTAATTATTTAGGTTAAATTTCAGTGTTGTCCACAATAATTTGATTGAATTATGTATTTTCGGTCAAAAGTCCTCTTCATTCGATGTCATTTTTAAGTTGATTAAAAAAATCAATAATATGACAAAAAGACGAAGGAAATAGTTTAGTTAGTGGTTATAATTTAATACAAAGGGTAATTAAAATATTAAGTTCCCCATAAAATTATCGAACTGAAACCTCGAAAATCGAAGCAAAATCTATTTAACTGATTAATTGAAGTAAACTCTGCCGGTAAACATTCGATCTTAGGTTCGCTGTTTATATATTCTTAAGAGAATGTTACAAAACATTTACGTATAGTATTTTTTTACAGCACAAACTACTGCAAACAACTTACAGCCGAATATTCCGGCCTACACAATAGATCCCATTTCCAGGTATTCTAACCTTAATACCCGATGCGTCACGCCGAATTCCGTTTTGAAACTTTATATAAGCGATCACCCAATATCATTGGATGCAGAGATGCCACGGCGAGAGACAGGTATTTTATTCCCAAAATAAATAATTGGTGATAAAAACTTTTTCTTATCTGTAAACACTTTCAGATAATATTACGTTAAGGGCGATGCTCAACTGGGCTGGACATCCGGACTTGCAAACGGCGACATGTCCGAAGGCCCTTTGGGATATTGTGATGAGGTATCGACACGACCTTCTCCCTGAATACAATGAAGAGAACTATAGATATATATATGAGTTGCTGGAAGAAACAATTTGTAAGATTTTAATTGTGATTATTTCGTTAGAAAACTTACGAGTTGCTAAAGCATTGCTATTTTTTTTATTTTGTCTTTGGACGTTTTACGGCTGATACAAGAATGCATAGGGGTTTGACAGTGTTGGCCTAGAGGCTTTAGGGTGTGACTCGTCCCTGAGGTCCTAGGTTCAATACTCGGATGTGCACTAATGGACTTTCTATTTCTGCATTTAACACTCATACGGTGAATCAAAACATCGTGAGGAACCGCCATAACTTACTTGCATTTAAACAAAAATTAATGATCACGAAACAGATAAAGAAATCTGAAGCCCAGACCTAAAAGGTTGTAGCGCCACTAATAATTTATAGGGGTTACTTATAACTAAAATATTTCTTATTTTAACATAAAAGTAGCTTAACAGTATCTTAAAGATAATAACAGAATAGAAAATATGCATAAATTTAGGCTTAAATATTTTTTCTCCAAACCTTTTGTTGTCATAATATAATTAAATAAAATTATTTAATTATCAATTATAGCCATCAAATATTATATAAAAAGTGTACGATAAGGGAAATCAGGCACAGAAGGCTGATCACCTACTTGCCTATTAGATTGACAAATGGCCTGTAGCGCCACAAATATTATTTAATTTTAAATTTCTACCCGATGAAAAGTGTGAAAGGCCTGCTTTAGTAACAACTTATTCTCTACCTAATACGACCTTATAAGTCAAAGTAAATTATAGTAATCTTCACTAAGCAAATGAATTTGAATAATTTGCCAAATTTATGTGTGCTGCTATTTGCCAAGTTGAATTTGAGAATCGTCGCTAGCCAAGCCACGGATGTGATGAACTTATTAATAAATTATTTCAGTGCCACCATTACAACTTGAATACGATTTAGACGACACGCGTTATAGGTACCTTTTGGGTGTCTATGTCGCTTTTAAGGGAGAAGTGCCTTACGCGCCGAGCATCGCCTTAGACCAAGACAGTATCCTTTCGCTTGTACGTATTTTCTCTTATTCTCTTTATGTCTTAAGTAAATTTGATAGACAACGGTGAAAATCTATAATATTTTTAATAAAAATATAGAATTAAATCAAGAATTGCTGGAGCGAATTCAATAATTTTTCATATGCCGGGAGCTGTTTCGGTTTTTGTTTATTTATAGAATCTATGTGTTACAAAGAAGTAATTGAATTGTATATTTGTATTTTATTGTGATAAACTAGCCAGCACTTGGCACATATTTACGTTGGCTATCTCGGATAAAATAAATAGTCATGTTTTAATATGGCGGACACAATAACAAAAATGACTGACATTCAAACATAGAACAAATATTTAAGAAATTGCATGGTGATTATAATGTGTGAGGGAAGAAACTGTACTTTCCAAAACGCGTCGGAAGTTAATTAGGAGGAATTAATTTTTTTTTTTCAGTTCCAATCAATGGTTTCTGTGCCAAGGCCTATGCCAGTTCTAACAAACACAAGTAAGTGCGTTTTGGTTTCAACTCAACCTATCAATTTGACTTTTGATGGCCACTCTACTACTCCCAATGGCGGTAGCGATTCATTGGAATATATCTCAGTATTGACTGATCCTTATAATTGGCCGATCTGTGATCTACATTTAAAAAATCACTATTGTAAATCTCTTTTTAAGTTAACGCCTACGTTAACGTTTCTATTAATGTTTAAAAATTTAATTAATTAAATAAAAACTTAACTAATGTTGGACTGCTATGAATATAATAATAATAACTTTACAAACAAAATTATTTTGTTCTAGCAGTTGCAGTTCCGAGTATAAATCCGAACAGGCGACAAACCGTTGATAACAGGGTAAGTACAAACACAGCTGACTTCATTAGGAAACGAATCGGCAAATTAGATATTAATGATATCACCAAACTTGCACGTTTAATGGAAGGACATGATGCAATATCAGACTCTGAATATTCCGATAAACATGCAGAGATTCACGATCAAATAATAGCGCTCCTAGATCCTGACGAATCACCGGACCCACAGATGGTTAGAGAGGCTATAACAGATTTACTTCAAGGCTCTTCCAGAAGTAAAGTTAACCTTCAAGGTGACCTGACGAAATTCTTCGCAAACGAAAAGATAAATGAAAAAAAATCGTCTAGATGCCTTAAGGGTCTTGACCCCGAAAGTGTCAAACCTCAAGATATTTTGTATTACGATGAATCAGAAACAAACCGTTGTACGATATCGAATATTTTGGAGAAAAAAACTATTAAGAAGCTTGTGCGTTCACAATCAGATGAAAGTCCCGATGTTCCTAGAACTGACATAATTAATCGCAGAAAAAATTCTGATTCCATGGTAAGCGTTAGAACCGGTTCCTCGGAAATTGGTCACGGTATAAAAGATATGAGAGATTTGTTTGAAGGGAAACTTGATAATAGGAATGATGACAAGACTTTTATAACGCATAGAGAAGACAGGAAGAAGATGTGTAGAGATCTGCGCTGGCAACAGTTTGCAAATATTATTGAAGGAAAGAACAACGATTCGTACCCGTATATCGAACCCAAAAAAAATTTGTCTATAGGAAACGCTGAGTTAGCAGAGAAGCGACTAAAAATGGCTGAACTACTGTTAGGTGTCTCGCAAGAAAACGCCTCTGGGACTACACCCCCGCGTAGTTCTGGGAATGTAGCCTTTAGAATGCAAAGAATCACAAATATGTTAGCAAGAAACAACACTCAAGCAAAGCTACCTAAAGGCACCAGTAGGAGGAAAGAGGCCCGTGAAATGATGAAGGAACGTGTGGAAAAAAGTCTTCAATTGCTGACACTGGAACCGCCACCCGCTGTATCCCAGTCTGACTTAGAACACGATTATGGACTCCAACAGTACAGAGCGGACGCCCCGGACTTTGACGAACGAGTGAAAAAACTAGAGAAACAACTTCAACACTATGTGAGATTGGTGTGTGTGTGTTGCATGGAAACCTTGACATCATAACTACTTTTATATTGCCACTATTTGAAAATCATTTTTTTTTTCACACCTTTCTAATATTTTTATAGTTTATCTTCCCAATCAGTTTTGCATTGAGTGTGTTTAATATTTAAAAGCAGCATGGCATAATTGAGTGGAAATCGTTTAAACTAACAATGTGTGCTTCGTAAACTGGAACATTTTTGGATTATTCTTTATGGTTTACAGGACGAATCGGCAATTGAACCAATAAAGGCAATCGGTAGTGGTATAAGAGTGGCTCAACTAGCAGCCGAGTTAAACACGACGGCTCTACCTAAACCTAAACCTTTAAAGCCAAAAGACCTAATGAGGGCTATAGGAAAGATTAGTCAGGATGACTGGCAAATTAAACAAATCGAAGGAAAGATTAACGAGAATAGATTTGGGCGTCCGATGCCATCTGCGGCAGAACGTGTACCCAAATGGGACCGGGAACAAGTAAGAATACCAAGCTTAGTCACGAACACGCGAGTCTTGTGATTATCACGAGATCCGACAGTTTTGATATCGTGAATATTAATAACCTTAATTTATCGGATGGTAACTTATCCATCTGATATTATTATTTTATTAATATTTCACTGTTTCCTTATCACTCACACTCTTCCTTGTCACTTGTGAATATCTGGTTGTTATTACAAGTGTTGATTAACTTGTTTACAATTATTTCGGCGGCGACGGATTCTTTTATTTATTTGTAAAAGTAGACTCGACTTTCCTTTAGCACCAATCGAATTTAGGGGTGTTTGTATAGCGGAATAGATATATGTCATTAAAATCAAACATTACCTTCGAAACGTCGTAATTTATCATATAAAAAATCCCGTAAAATTGATAATCCTTCAGTGTTTACATGTCAGTTAAAAAGGAAAAAAATCATAAGGAGCTGACTAAAATAGTTCCCCATTCCCCTCATTCTAAGCAAACATTTCTCTTAAGATCTTTATTTGTATGACAAAGTATTAATTGTCAAAGCAACCCAGAAAACTGAAACCACGACCTTCCCAGGCTGTGTCCAATTTTTGTAGACGAAAGCTCTAAACAATATTACAACTTCCAGCTATTAATTAAACAAATCTACCTCAGGTGTTAATTAGGTATAAAAATCCGCCTAGACTAACATCTGATTGTATTGTTCGTGTGTTTATATTGTTAAAACATGACGTCGTCCGAACCTGAGTAATTTAAAATTACATTCAGTCGACATTGTAACGATTCTAATGGTAAAAAGAATAATCATTTTTGATATTTAAAAATTAATATCTCGCGGAGTACATGTCACCGTGCTTTCCTACCTGTACTAAATGTGAACGTCTAAATCGATTGGTGCTATTACAAAGTGAATCCAAAGCAGTCATAAATAATAAAATGAGCTTTTGTGGGAATCTGCTTTTATATATACACGTGGGAGCAAGGTCGGTGTCGCGTGTGTTCGTGCATAAAAGAGACATGTTCACGAGTCACAAGTTGCCTCCAACGTGACAAGCTTCGCTTCAGAGAAAGCTTGTCTTCGGCACTGTCAAAAATGTCATAGCACAGTTTAATACGCCTTGAAATTAGATGTTGCTTCAAGATCTGGAGAACAGTTCTGAAAAGCTTTGTTTCTTGTATAACGTGTGTGTTTGTCTTATTATTTCGCTTTCTAATAGGTATCTTAAGCCACGAAATGGTCAGGAAATTTATATGTATATATGTGTCTTGGACTATTTAATCTTGTGTGCTTATAAAATGTTTATATGCACGACGATGACATACATCTTTCAAAGAAATTTAACATGCTAAAGTCAAAGTAAAGTCGCTTTATACATAAAAAGTAAATCAGTCTTATTGCACTCTTTTAACGAAATATTTCAACTAAAATTTTATACTTTGAAGTCTTTCTGTCGAATTATATTTACGCTGTGATGAAAATAGAGTACAGATGAGATTGTTTAGTAAACCGTGCAATTTGATGGATTGATTGTTTATGAATAATAGTCAATAATTCACTTATAAAAGTAATAAGTAATATGTGCGTAGTTTTGTATATATATGTATATTGATTAGAAATAAAGTTGTAATTTGTTTTGCAGTTTCTTAACAGACAGCATAGGGTACAACACGGTCAGACTGAGGACAAGTGGACGGCTGGCGATACAATCATAAAGCGGGTCGATACCAAACTGAAGGACACTGGAAGGCCAGAACAAGGAAGGACTTCGGTCAGTTTTCAATTACTTTATACACTTTTACAACTTTCTCAGAATTTCGCATGCGTAGTGTTTCTTTAATTGATAAATTTTCTTTAATAATTTACCCCTTCGACATCTTACCCACAGTTACGCAGAGCTGCGGTAAAAATATGCAATAATTGTGTATATTATTTGTTTTATATTACATAAATACTTTATTTTATTTTTCACGACATTATCGTATTGGCATAGTCTGTAAGGATAATGTATGTATTTCTGTAATTAATAAATAAATAGCTAATGCCAGACAGAGGACTGTATATAATAAGTAACAAAAGTAAAGATATACGCAAGCTAAACTAAATGAGTAAATATATGAGGGGTGATAAATAAAATAACTAAGAACCTTATGGACTCCTAACACTTACACTTAACATATCACATAAATTAAGTTTCTATTTAGTTTTAGTTATTTATTTTTTTAGCTATTATTATTATTTAGTTACCTTAATAGCTAGGTATTTTTTAAATTTTTTGTTTTTTTTATTTTGTGGTTGCTTGTTTAATTTTTTCCCTTGCTTGTTCTAATATAATTAATGTGTATGCGTATGTGTGTAAAATTTGTGACGTCATATTTTCTTGTCTAATTTTATGCCTACACGTTGTTTTAGAACTTATAAATACATAAATAAATAGTGAGTATACGAAAAAAAAAAATAACGGGACGTCTGCATCAAGGTACCTAAAGTAACAGAGTGAGCGCTATGGTTAGGAGCATATAAGGTAGTGGGATTTTCTCAAAGCTGTCGGGCATATAGTTAAGGGCTCGACGAATCTTTCGCCACTTTGAAAGGAATCGAGAAATAAATCCCGATATCATTACATTATAAAACAGGCTCTTAGACCTAAAGCTGTGTCAATTTTGTATTTCAGGTAAAATCTCTGATGGCGAAATTTTTGGATAGGCCCGTCCCCCCGGTGCAAGTTCTTCAAGAGAATCCGGTGAGCTACTAAGTTTTAATTTTTAAGTTATTGTGGGGAAGCAATAGCGCTTGTCTGGTTTTCCTTTATTCATTATTAAAAGACCAGAAATGCACTCGCTAGCCCTTTGGCATTGAGTGTTCATCACTTATCAATAGGTTGAGGGTTTGCACCCAGTTCTCTAAAAAAATTTAGGGCGTGATCATTTTTTAAAATGGCAAACCTTTTTGGCCGGGCACATTTTTCAATTTCAATACGAGTCTGAACATCTGAGTCTTTTCATACATTTTATTGTTAGTTTAATGTATACATTTTATTAAGTGCGGTGCTCCACATTAAAAGTGGTTTAGCGGCAAGTGATAATTACGTTCCTTTTCATCATAAACAGTAAAAAACGCACAAGTAAAGATAACATTTTATTTTTAAAGCGGCAAACTAAACCTGGAGTTAGTAGGCAGTGATGCCAGCTAAATAATAAAATAAAGTAATTAAACTTAATTCGATATATTATTGTTCGTGATATTGAAATACTTGTTATTTTTGTATTAGGTCACTTGAGTAAGTAATTATTTAGATTTACCTTTTTGTAGGTAAAAAATAAAAAATACGTAGCATTTTTTTTATTGCCCTCAAATATTGAGGAGAGGAGAGGATCCCTTTTTCGGTGGAGAACTTTTTTAGTATCATCACTTATGAAATGTCAGAATTCTACAGAGTAGGTATACAAAATACTATATTAGGATCATTTGGCGTTTCGAAAATTTAGATTTTTCTTACCGAGTATTTCATTATCTGAATTATTACAGGGCCTATCGAAGGGTGGACAGCGACATGTAGACCGAAGTGCAGCTATTGTTCAACCTGGGTAATGTTACTTTTATATTGGCGAGGTGTAAAAAGTGCCTTGAAGCGTGAATGAATTTGGTTTTTGTTTTGAAAGTGTACATTTTATATATGTTTACGAGTGTTTTATGTTTTAGTAATGCTTATTCAACCCAACCCACTGAGGCAGTAGATAGCCCAATAAGTCAGGATGTTGCCACCATTCCGTAAGTATATTATATTAGGTTGATGGTAATATATATTGAACCGTATTTTACTAACAGATTTTGGACATGGTCTGTTGTGAGTGTAAAGGTGCCTTTTGGACATTTTAGTGAGTTTTTGATCAAACAATGTTAATATTCTCTTATTAAATAGTTTGTCACTTATGGACGCCTTTCCTATAAAGAACCATGAACCAAAACTGCCTTTTGATTCTGTATGTAACAAAAAGACGTGTGACATGACGCATAAAAAAAATTGTACGTGTACTAGGTGTACACACGTAAGAAGTGAAACTTCTTTATGATCTTATTTTTCGAAAAATGATCTACTATATGCAACTTTACAGAAATTCGTTAAATTAGATAAAGTTTAACAAAAGGCTTTTATTATCATAGACATGAATACAAATATTTCATTTTACCTTATTACTACGAAGATTATTATAGAATTTCATTAATTGTAATAGAATTATTACTATCATTGAAAAACGTGACGATTTGCTACAAAATTTATCCCATACGTCGATAAAGAACTTTCATTCCAACGCCGATAAAGAAGTTTGACTTCAAAAAGCAACACGGTTACGCGCGTAACCGAAAAATGTGACGCGTAACGAAAAAATGTTACACTAAATTTTTTTCCAACCTCGATAAAGAAGTTTCACTTCAATAAATTATAAAAAAACTATAGTTCCTTTTTAGGTATATATTCCTACACGTTATAACTTATAATAAACTAGCAACTCTTTTGATGGTCCGTTCAAATTAGGTCAAAAAACAAGAGCGTAGCTACCAGAATTGCCATCAAGCTTAAACTGAGTAAACCTTTTCAAAACACAATTAAAAACAACTTTTCAAAATTACCCATCAACTCGAGGCCAAAGGTAAATAAATGGGTTTTTCTTTAAAACTGCAAGTTTTATCGTAAAATTACCTCAGACAAAAATTTTAGATCATAAAATTATCTATAAAAAAGGTATAAAATTTTTTTTTCCTAAAACACAAGGATGTTTTATGTTTTAGTAATCCCTCATCAACCCCCAAGTCCACTGAGGCAGTCGAAAGGAGTATCCATGGGCTTGAAGATAGCCCAACAAACCAGGACTTGCCTAGCATTTCGTAAGTGTAGCATACTAAGTTGATGTTAAAATCTTAATATATATAAATCTCGTGTCACAATGTTTGTCCTCAATGGACTCCTAAACTACCGAACCGATATCAATCAAATTTGCACACCATGTGCAGTTCGATCCAACTTGAGAGATAGGATAGTTTAAATCTCAAATTATAGTCGCAATTTTAATTTATTGCAAAATATTTGTTTATTATTTGATACAATTCTAACAGATGGCGCTGTGTTAAAATTATCAACGTTTCACATAAGCTGTCATCTACCTTTCACATAAGTCCTCCTACCGTTTCCCTTGAATAGTTTACTACTAATATAACAAAAACCTTAGCCACAGCAACGCTTGGCCGAGTCTACTAGTATGTAATATATATTTAGGTATTTCTTGACAATAAATTTTAAATGGCCCTTACAAAGGTGAGCTTCCCCACTTCTAGATGTGTGCCGTTGAGTTGAATGTTAATTTCCTGGCCCTAGTTCTTGTTATCCTATCACCTATCGACGCCTTTCCCTAAAAAGAACTAAGAACCAAAACTATTTATTCTGTTAATGTTTTTGAAACGCGTGTGCTTTATAACTGTTTTTTTTTTTTCAGAACAATAAACGAATCAAATACATCTAGATGTTATCCCGTATATAATGATAGTGATGACTACCAAATGGACGACGATATGCTGAATTATCTTAATGATGTTTTTGAATCTGCGCCAATAAATATGCCGAGTACCTCTGCGTATGATGGTATGTCTTTAATTGAGCATTTTATATCACTTTCAAATTATATAAGTCTTTGTCGAATAATTAATAAATGAAAATAACTATCTATCATCAAGATTTTTGTAAATATTATATTGTGTATTAAAGCAATATTTCGAAATTAACTGGTAAAATAGAAACTTAAAAAAAAAAAAGGTGCGTGTACTTATGTACGCGCGTAAGAAGTTATACTTCCTTGGAATTATTAAAAATAGTTTTTGATTGCATGAAAATAATTAATTACAATTAAATAATCAAAGACTAGAAAAGGAGTCATTATAGTCAATAAAGTTCAGTTTATATTTGAAAAATTAAATAAATATTTATTATTATTCTCTTACATTAAGTGTAACATAAATTCTATTATTATATGTCCAATGCCGTAGCATCTTCCGTGGGCAACTTCATTCTGTTAATTTTGTGTCACGGTGCGCGCGCATCGTAAAATTTCACTCCTATAAATTATTCATAACGCGCCTTAAGAAGTATAACTTTAAAAATCGCTGTCTTTTGTCTGCCCGTCAGAACGCAATAAGCCTTAAAAGTATCGAGCTGATTTTTGTACAGGTTTCCAATAGATAATGATATTCTATCAGGATTGCGTTAGTGAAATGGTTTTATGTAAATAGATTGAAATATTGTTGAAAAGGTCGCAAATAATATAAGCCAAAATCCACGATTTATTTGTTCTTTTTTAATACTAACTTGTAAGTTTATAAGTTAGTATCAAAACGGTCAATCAAGTTTTATCAAAGTAAAATTTGGCTTGGAGTGGTATTCTCAGTAAACATTGAAAATACATTATTCGTTTTTATTTTGACTAGGTTCAGCATCTAGTTTGGAAACGGCCTCAAATCGGCAACAGACAAGGAAAAAACGACCACACAAAAAGATCGCTTCATCCAGCAGCGAGGTACTTCGATGCAGCATCTGCTAATCTTTGGCAATAGGGAGGTGCGATATGCCAAGCCATCGCCTTACACGAAATATACGCTTTACAGCGGAATATGAAAAATATTTCGTAAAGGTCCAATTTAACCACTGTTGTAGAGTTCTTTTTCGCTCCTAGTATGCTTTGAGTTTTGCAATTGTATAATATGCATGTACCGTGTTAAAGGCGACGGCAATTGGCTAAGTGACCCACACTAACTGGTTTGTTGATGTTGTGTTAGTTTTTTTTTACCAATTTTGACCCATTTTCCGTACTCTTAAATTAATAAAAACTATTTTAACAAAAAGAAACCCAAATAATCTTGTTGTTGCTCTGACAGCAGCAGTATTTTCAGTGATTTTTCAATGTATAATTAAGATTATGAAATACTCTTAATTATACATACGTCGCCTGTTGATGTTTAGTTAAATGTGTTTGTTTTTTGTTCATGATTTTAAAAGTTAATAATAATTCGCCAAGTGTTAGTGTGGAAACATCGCATCTTCCTTGCAGGAGTAGTGGCAGGAGGAAATAATTACGTCTAAGCTATTAGAAGTAATCATTTTCTCTGTCCTAAATAATACTAATATATTAACCACTTTGACTAAAAAAAACTAAACTTGGAAATTCTTTTATTTATGTCAAGTTTAGTTTTTTTTTTCATTTCATCCAAGAAATTGTAATTCGATAATTAAGGCTTATACAATTTATTTGAATAATCTTAATCTTTAATATAGATGGAGTCTGACGAAGAGGACAGTGATTCTAGTGATGACGACGAAAAGTCATCAGGCACTGAAGTTTCAACTGATAGTGAATTTGCTTGTGAAGACATCGGCGTCAATATTCCACCTCCTGCAATACTAGTCACTGAAGCTCCTCCTCACATTTCACCTCCTCAAGATTATCCACTAAATCGAACGAAATCTGCAGGTGGCTTAGCTACTAAACGAGCTCTTGAGCTAAAACGTAAATATTTATTAGGAGAATCTAGTCCACCTGCCGTCAGAAAGTCAGAATCCACTTCCCAATTAGACTCGAAACTCGAAGCGTTCCGAATAAACATCACCGAGTTCCAAAAAATGTTACATCCTGCAACACCTACACCTCAAACAGGCACACCCATCCTCTCCTACCAATTTACTTTCGAAGAGAAAAAGCCACCGCCTGATATCCCTGACATCATTAAGAATATATGCAACCATGTCCCAGTTGACTTACTTACTAAAGGAGATTCTATACTCGATTGGAAGAAACCATTTAGAAACGAGAGAGATCCAGATTTGGAAACGGACTCTCTGTCGGATGAGTCATCTTCTTCTGATACTGAGCCCAACCGATCTGTACCGAGACTCGAAGTACACAATGAAGGTGGAGAATTGATACAATTAGATAGTTTGATTCTATTAAATAATGCAGTAGAAGATAAAATGTATTCACGAACGACGACGGAAGAAGCTCCAGCTCTACTTGCCGAAGAATCAGAATCGTCCGAGTCTTGTAAAGATGCAACTACAATTGCTCTTACAGAAACTGAACTATCGGATTGGGCAACAGAAATTGTTGTTATAGATGACTGCGGCCCAGATGAAAATGGTGTGAGGAAACGAAACAAAAACCCCAGAACTTTAAGTGGTCCAAAACTGATTCAAGGCTCTAAAAATGTAGAAACCATACCGTCACACGTTTGTGGGCGGGACGGCTCTGAATCCGAACTAGTCGTCTATTCGAACGCACCTGAATACTTTGAATTTGCAGACGAAGGTGATCAGGATCCTACCATAGAATCGACATCAACACCTTGTAATGAAGGTTACATGGAACTGGTTGATGATGAATACGATCCCTACTCGGCGTCAAGGGATCGCTCTATAAATTTTATAGAGAGAGTCTGCTCTGACACCACAATGAAACCTGACACGCACGATACTCTCAAATTTGCATCAAACTTTTCAGAATCACTAGAATTCATCGATAGCTCAGAATCCAAATCGGGAAACTTACATAATACAAAAATAGCATCTGAACCATTTTCCTTTTATGAGAAAATCCCGAGATTAAATGAAAGTAACGATTCTTGCAGTTCGTCCTGTGCATTGAAAAATGTTGAGAATAGTATTATAATCGAGGCTGTAAATGACTTCAAAGTACAAAAAGAATCGCTAACGGAAATTTCTCCACCATTATTAAGTATGACTGACAAAAACGGGGTCGCAGCAAGTTATAGTAGTACCAAAAATGGCAACTCTTTAGATGATGTGTCGCCACCGTTACTCTCTGACAGTATTAGCCATTCTCGTAGCTTAACTAAGGTAAACTACGAGACTAAGCCAATACCTGGAGAGAAATTTAGAAATATACGCAATTATTCGCCAGCAATTTGTCGTTCAGCCAGCGAAAATTTAGGTGGACCTCGAACTAAAAAAACGACCTCAAGTGACAGTAATTGGTCGATACCTTTAAATTATAAGATTCCTAGAGCTAGGGACAGCCCTTATCAATTACAGTCGCAATTAACGAAAGTAGAAGAGTTAAAGCGGCAAAGAGAAGAACAAACTGAAGTGGTAAGAAGACTGGTCCTACAGCGATTGGGTGGAGCGAAACTCGGCAAGAAATCTACCGCAAGAAGTAGAAGTAGAGTCCTACCATCAACTATGACTCCGCCCCCAGTACCTCCGCCGCCCATCTTACCAGCGCCCTTGCTACCCGAAATATTTCCAGAAGTTCCTCCACGACCCACATCACAGCCCCGACTGTCCTTATCGATGCAATCTTCCCTCTCAGACCCAGAATTAAATAGAGAACAACGGTCCAGCAAGGGTTTCCTTAAGAGTATATCTAATTATTTCAACAAGCATCTTGGACCTAAGCACAAGGTAAAGAAAATTTTAATTTATAGATTTCAAGCACAAAACATCAGCACCCACCCACTCATTAAATTCATTGATTTTATACTAAACAAGTTGGGAATACATTGTAAATAAACGACAGTTTAACATAGTTTAAAAAGAGGTGGTGTGAACACAATAACTACTTCGACCGTGTCCAATTTTGGCAACAAAATTTAATTTGTTTATTTTTTATTGGCACCGTTAAAAAGGTCACTAAGGACACGGTTTAACTAACAGTAGTTAAAATTTTCAGTGTGAATCGGAGCCGGACCTGACGACGCACGTAAGCAAAGCATATCAAATATAATATCGTGAGTCGCATGCTGTGTTCATCTCTTTCGCACCAACCATTGGTCAATTGTACGTTGTCTTGTCTCGCTCAGTCACACAGCTTTGCTTTTCTAGATTTCATCTTCATATCGGCTTATGTGCTTGCTGAACTTGTCAAGTTAGTTTCCACGCGTTCAGCATTGAAGTTCGAAGAGAAAATATTTGGAAGATAAATTATAAATTTGCAATATTATTATTATTGCAAATATAAGTGGATACTTGCTATTTTTTATTTTGCATGACGAAGTTACGCGTTAGTTATGGTATGGTAGAATACTCCACTTGCGACTGAGTTCTTCAAATATTTTATTAAGAAAGAAACCAGACGCTATGTGTAATTTAACTTCTAGTTAGTGTAACTTCCTTACTAACATTTTAATCTAGTGATTACTCTAGTGCTTTTTATTTTACCGTTTAGGAATTTACCACATCTTACTCGACTTTTTAAAGCATGTTCTTCTCTGTAATTCTTCTTTCAAATATAAATTATTTCGTACGAAAATAAAAGTACAAATGAATCTTGCTTAAAATGATCTCCTTGACCAGATATAATGACGAATTTGTTATATTATTATTATTTGCCTTCCTGGGCCTCAAATTCCGGCGATTCCCTTCAATTTCCTATGTAGTGTGTTTGTAATGTAGTGTGCTACAGGGTGCCTAATCGTTACTAATATTATAGAGTTAAAGTATTTGATATAACGCTAATCTCAGGTTTGATTTAAAGAATCTTTCCATTTATCTAGGAAGGCTATACATCATCACGCTACTACCATTAGGAGAGGAGCGTAAATGTTGCAAGAACGGGAAAAAATATATTTTGGGTATATGGCCAATGCAACAGACTTATAAAACATCGCGTATAATATTTTTGTGTACTTGTATGATACATAAAACACTTGCCTACTTGTGAGGCAATATTTAAAGCGGACGGCTAACTGGGTCTGTCGCACGTCTCCAGGTACCTACATATGCGCAGCTATTCGTATATGTTATTAGACACTTCGTATTGGTAAGAGATTCTCAGAGAGATCACTTGAAGCAGGGTGTTTTAGTGCGCAATAAAGAGTTGTATAGATAGTGTAAAAAAACATTTATAAAATATTTCGTACAAGGATATTTTTACAAGAGTGTCATCGTCAAATATATAAAGAAGCAAAGACATTTCAATAAAAACCTAAGACATACATATATAGCTTACAACATTTTTGCTTTAACAACACCAAGCATACAATGTTTCCACATACAATGGGTTAAAATCTTTTGATTTTTGTCGTGTTTGAGATACATATTATCAAACACATGCGCTAATCGCATTTCTTAAATCCCTTTTAATTTTTGTGATTGATTGCGAGTACACAGGTAGACTATAGGGAAAGAATATTTATTATTATTCCTCTTGTTTCATGAATGCTATCATTCGATATAAATACCCCTTGCTGATGTACTGTGTAATGTACAACTTTTATATTAAATATGTTCAAAATTATCAGTCACAACATCATACTGAGCGATTTATTGTCTTCTCAGCCCGCTCGGCCTAATGAGAGAGCAAACTCAAGTCGACACACGTGGTACCAGCCCACGGCAACCACACCTCAATCTACGCCTCGTCCAACAGTGAGCGCGTCCGACGCGAGTCCTCTGCGGGAGAATACAGTGATAAGTCCAAATTTTCGACGGGATCGAAGCTCTGGAACCCGCATAGACACAGTAAACCAGCAGGTTGATCAACAATATATGTCTTCTGAACGAGATAGGCCTGAATCAGACGTAAGCTTTAATAATTAACAAACAAACAAAACCTTTATTTCACAGGGCCTGAAAATATTAATGAAAGTATATAGTTTAGCAGTCCCTTGGAAGCGCTAAGTTATTGTTCTATCATCATCAAATGGTTCGCCGGTTTACTGTCTATATATAGTATTTATGGTAATGGTGGATTCGTTACCTAATGAAATGAGTATTGGAAAACTTAAACATTTATTAACACCTCCACAAAATATACAAATAAATAAGCCACATTTATTTATTTTACAAAAAATACACACATTTAGTATCCGTTAATTTGGACTATTTTTTTTTAATAACTCAAAGAATAAAGGTCTCCTCCACACGGCTCCATCTCTCTTTTTTTTCCCTATTTGTCCTACTATCCTTCGTTCTTATCTTGGCCTTTATTTTTAGATTTAATACGTTCCATTCGTCATTGACAGGTTGTTTTATTGTGTATATTCATGGTTGTCTACCGTAAGAAAACATGTCAATATAAGCGCGTCATAGACTTATTATCTGCCTTTAGTACTTCTTTGGATCCCCAGACTTTGTTGCATGCTAGCTTAGTTCGTCTAACGACATTGTGCCGTTGTTTTTTATTTTTTTTATTTATTTATGAATAAATGTATTGTAATTCTATGGAGTAACTATTTATTAGGACAGGAACTCTTTTATACATGCAGCGCAAGCTCGCATTGTTAATTCCTAAGGATATTTGTTGCTGCCCAAAATACAAAAATTAAAAATATATATTATAGGTGTTGGAGATGCCTCTGCCCGCACCACCGTCGGCAGCAGCTACGACTGCTGGAAACATACGTGATAAAGGTAAACTGATAACAAACAAAAATATTTTTGCATTATCATTCATTGCTTACGTGAATAATATATTTTTATTTTTCATAACTCAATTCATTTGTAATGGATTTAGTTATGGAAATAAAATGACAGATGATTAAAGTGGTCCAATTTGCATTATACAATAATAATTGTTCACTTCAAACTCTTGCCCTGAGGTGCGTCGCAGGGAAAAGGGATGAGATTCAGAAACGAGACTATGACTCTAATGTCAAAATCCATGTCTTAGGAAAAAGAGGTTTGAAGTCTAACTTAAGACAATGATGTTTAACAATATCACAAAAAAAACTTTAAAATACTTCTCATTTTTTACATGAATTAAATTATATGTATTAACAATAAACTTTTAAAAAAAAGATAAAAATTGTGCAACAGCCGGCTTTATCGCTAAGTAATCCCTTCCATGCAAACGTAATTAAATAAAAAAGCTTTTGCAAGAACATTATTACATTTTTATCGCGATTCACGGATTAGTAAAAACGTTTTCACTGTAATCGTACCAAAAGCCAATGAAACTAGACTGCGAAGTTTGACAAGAACGATGTTTCTGAATACGGTTACGTAAACTTTGATTGGCCGCGACTCGGCTTACGACCGTCTCACAGTTATGTCTCTGAATCTCAGCCTAAGCTAATACCACAACCTAAAAGCTTAAGTATGACTCCTGCGCGTCAAAAACGTATTTGATTATAACATACGGCCAGGTCGGGCCAAGCCTCTGAATATTACCTATAAGATTCAGGCCATTTCCAATCTTCATATGATTGGTACGCGTTAATCGAATTTTTGTCGATTATATCACCACTATTACTATTTCGTACGCATTCCCCAGTAGCCCGCGAGCAACGTGAAAAAACAATATGGATAAGGAGGGCAAGACGATTAGAAAGGATTTCTATACGTGGTAAGCATAGTATCCACTTCATTATCTGTCAAGTTATATTAGCTTTATATCACACTCATTCTTCATATTTTTTGTGCTTGTACTGACTATAATATATTTCGATTGCAGACTCGTACTTATTAAGTAGTCCCCAATTGAAATATATTTATGTTAAAGCTAACGCATACTACGAAATTTAACCTAACTGTGAAACGGCATCCAATACAGAATTTTAGTAGCGGTATATTAGAAGAGTACAAAACGACTCATGATTGACGTGATACACAGGTATACAAAAATATACCATCATAATAATGATAACAGTTAACGAACCCGAAGCCAATAAGCATTTGAGAGAGTAGCAAGTTTAACTAGCTCTGAAAATATTACATGATATGAACATATTAAATATTTAACCGACTTCAAAATGAGCGTGCTACGTATGCTCCACAACCCTTGGTAACGCGATTTTGGAGTATAGATTTCCTCGGTCTATGTTTTATAGTTAGTCCGATACACAACTACAATTTTGCAGTTTCTCATTTGTAAATTGTACGTCCTCAATTTCTTTGAAATACAATTCAGGTTGTACATTATTCACTAGAGCCCCACACACTGCATGGCAATTTCAGTGTCGTTACAATAGTCGGAACAGTTTTGCTGGATTGACAGGCGACTCCAAAAAGATTTTGATAGTTGAGGTGACATCTAAAATTTCTGAAACATAATATTCTGATCCCCGGCAGCCAAGATAAAAAAATATTCGTGTTGCTTTGCTATATAACTCTTATAAACTCTTTGCTATATTGAATATATTAGAGAGAAGAATCGAGCGCGTATTTGATCTATCTAAAAAAGTTTAATTTTTATATCCATTTGAAAGTTCGCCGGAGTGCAATTTATCAATATATATATATACGTAGTTGGTCCCAAAGTTCTGTCACTAGCACATTATTTCTACATTTCGAGCAGGATTTTATAAAAAAATTATTGCATTCTATTTTGGAATGTTTGATTATTGTTTTAAAACAAAAAAACAATAACTTTCCGTAATTTTTCACGATGGAGTGGACATTGAAAGTAAACCGAATAGTTGTTATTGCGTTGCACCGCTGTGGACACTCGCCGAGTACCATTTTCAAGTTGCTCAAAAATTTGAATATAACGCTTAGGTTTATGTACGGTACTATTGATAGGTACCTTGAAGTCTCCAGTGTTGAGGACAAGAAAAGAACTGGCTGGCCACGCTCCGCAAGAACACCAGCAGTAATCAAAGCTATCAAGGCGCGGATAGTAAGAAATCCTGTCCGAAAACAGAAGTTGATGGATTTGCAGATGGGTGTCAGTAGGAAAACAGTAAAAAAAGGTTTTAAATGAAGATCTTGGTCTACGAGCATACAAAAAAAAGAGTGGGCACTTACTTAATGCTCGTCTAAAAGCAATAAGGCTTAAGAGATCGCGGGTGTTGTTTAAGCGGTACGCGAAAAACCGACACCGTGATATCCTCTTTACGGACGAAAAATTTTTCGATATTGAAGAGAAGTACAATAAACAGAATTATACAGTGTACGCTAGGAGTTCTGAAGAAGCTGAAAATAAAGTTCCAAGGGTGCAACATGGACATCATCCATCATCAGTAATGGTTTGGTTGGGAGTGTCCTATTACGGGCTAACTGAGGTTAATTTTTTCGAAAAGGGGGTCAAAACCAGTGCTACAGTGTACCAAGAGACGGTTTTGTATCGCCTTGTCAAAGACATGTCCAGCACCCTATTTGCGGGACATCACTTCGTGTTCCAGCAGGACTCTGCGTCTGCATACAAAGCCAAGACCACTAAAGCCTGGTTTGAGCGTCAAAACATCGTCTTAATTAGACATGAGGATTGGCCTTCCTCCAGTCCGGACCTTAATCCTTTGGACCAGAAATTATGACAGGGCTTAGAGAGGAAGGTCTGTGATAAACCTCATGAAAATTTGGAGAATCTGAAGTCATCTTTAAAAAAAACCAGTGACTGAAATCGACACGAATATGGTGCGTGCTGCGATAGACGACTGGCCGCGACGCTTAAGGGCCTGTATTAAAAATGAGGGAGGTTATTTCGAATATTTTTATGCTTTTTTTTATTCCTTAATTAATGTACTAAGAATTGATATATCACTCATTACAAACTGATCAGTACTTTTGTTTTTATCATTATTTCCATTTATGACAGAACTTTGGGACCGACTACGTATATTAAGGGCGCTCCCCATAAATGGTAATTGTTACCTCACTGAATTTCAATCACTATAATATTCAGCGATGAATCCCATCCCAGTATCGACAAAAAAATTTATAACCACTGTTTAAGTCGGTAAAATTTGGATGCTTTAGTTTTACTGTTTATCCTCTGATATAGTGTTAGTGGCGCCATTTTGAGTTGTTACGCGTAATTTAAATTAAATGCTCGTGAAATTACACTTCACTCACTTGTGTGAAACCAAATAAAATCTGCATAAATTAAGGCCGGCAGGCTAAAAACCAGGTCCGTTGTTTAAAATTCACGCCGAGGTCACCAGCGTCATAATAAAATATGAGTTACTGTAATACTCTTTATTAAGGCGGATTAACAAAATAATGTAATACAATATTTACATTTTGAAGACGGTTATATTTTTTGTTAATGATTTTGTACTATACCGAAAACAAAGTAAATTATAGCGAGGATTTCTATTAATATTGACTCTTAACTCGCTTGTAATGGTACTCACCGAAGCGATAATAGAAAACATACTATACCATCTGTGACAAGGAATGCATTTTAGCGTTTGAATGTAAATATTTCAGATAATGAAAATCAAGACCACATCGTTGCTCAGATATTAGATATACGGGCTACGGAAGAGTCCAGGAGGTCAATGGAAGAAGCACAAAGAACGATGGAAAGGTATAAATATATAGTATACCTTAAAGTTACAGTTACAAAGAAATCTACAAATTCTTAACCTGTAATAATTATTTCCTTGCCAGTTAGACCTAAATTGTTTGTCCGATGTAATATTATATTATGTTGTATAATGTCATAAAATATTTTTGTTTCTATTTTCTATATCAATGATAATGTAGTATGTGATGTCCATTCTTGCTATACGCTAGTTAACTTGTGTTTTTGTTCCTAACCAGTGTAAGTATTAGGGATACATGTAATAATGGCGTATCTTCGTTTTCAGCATGTTGAGAGCTAAGTGGGGAAGCGTCGGAGATTAGCTACATTTATTAAGTCACTCGGTCGCTACATCGGGATAAATAAGTTTTTAATATTAGATATATCTTAATGATTAAACGCTTGCCCATCAGACTGGGTATAAATGAAAAGCCCTCGTGTTAAGAGAAGGAGGTTTTCATTCTTAATTGAAAGTCAAAAATACTATTTTGTCTATAATTAACTAGTAACATTTAATTAATGCCCTGCTTATACACTACCGGCCTTATTAATTACCTTATTAGGTTAAGTCTTAATTCTGAGGAATATTTAGTTAAATATAGTGAACCGAATTCATTTAAACCAATCAATTTGCAATTTTCGTAAAGCCGTTGATAAATGTATTATTAATTAATTTTATGATTCTGTAGAGGATTTAGTATTTTGATGTATTATATATTGTATACATATTAATTTTATTATGTGGCAACTGATAGGTTGAATAATAAAAACGATTGTTGGTAAGCAATTGCAATATTCGGATTTTGGTTTGTCTTTGGTGTCTTTATTCCCATACCTTTTACGGTAAATTTTTGGGAGAGGTCTAAATAGTATGTTAAGGCGAATCGTTTATGTTAATATGTAGTTTATAAGCACGTTACCTAATCTATTGTTTTTTATATAATAGAATTAGGCCGGAGATTAGATTCCAAAGCTTTAAATCGGGTATTAGTGGAATAGTATTTTTTTTCTCTTCCGTTGCCAGCGCACACTAAAGTATTTAAATATTTATTGCGTTCCACTGTTGAAATACCAATATTAAACGTAACGGTTTTTAAGGTTTTGACACATGAGTGAGCAAAGTAATCCATGTTTCATGGATTACAGAGTTAGGGCACAAGGGCGTGAGAATTTAAACTAATTGTTTGTGATTAGTTTAACGGACGTAATGACGTTTCATGGGGCGTGTCAACACGTATGGCGTCAACGTATATTGAGCAACCACAATCGTCTTTTGTTTAACATTTTCAGTCTAAGGTGATTGAGGTAATCGCTGTGACTGACCCTCACTGTCTAAAAATTACCTTGGGGTAGAGATTATAAATTAACATTATTTTGTACTATTTTTACACTAACTGTAGTGTTATAAGAACGATAGCGATTCTAAACTATTGCATTAATGTCAAAGGGGTGCTACACCCGAATATTTGGCGAGAGGGAGACGTAAATCGCTTACAGTGAGGCTTAAGCTCCTTAGACATTGTTAACCTGTTCGCCTCTTCAGTTTTTGCGCTATGTTGAAATGATAGAACAGTGCTTTTTAATAATTCAATAGTTATGAATGAGAGTATAAACTCTCTTCACGACAGTCGATTTTCTTTTAAAATTTCGGAAAGGTTTAAGGATAATTTTAACATTGATAATTATTTGAAGCTAATAGAAATAGTCATTATGGCCACATGCATAGACAATATTTATACCGACATAATTATAGATAATAGACTAATTGTAAAAAAAAATTGTCAAATATCTGAGTAACCTGAGCGTTTCAAAAGGTTCAGGGATAGCACTGTTTGTAATACACAATTTTTGGAGATGACTTTGATCTAATTCAATAATTATTTGAAACTTTGATTGATGTGTTTAACATTGTATTTCTTTCAAAGGCCTATTAACACTGAGGAGTTTAAGGAACTTTTTTGTTTTACCGTAGGCGATGATTTTTTAATAACTTTATTAAAAAAATAATTATGATTTACATATACAATTCTACAATGTTCTCTATTTTATTAAATTATTTACTTATAAATTTTAATGTATGTTAATGTCATATATTTACTATAATTTGAATGTTTTATTAAAATATAATTCGTTTTTTTTTTAATTACTTTTACTATGCTATTTAACTTACTATTTCTTTAATTCTGACATTTTCCCTTTATTAATACTAATAATTATTTTTAATTATAAATAAATTAAATTAATTTTGTATGCAATTAAATAAAACCAAAGATGTTTCCTAGAGTTATTGTTCCAAAATTTGTGTGCAAAAAATACAAAAACACACTTACAATAATAACTTTTTCAGACGTCCATTCACTCTGAAAAATAAGTCATGTATAAATTTGAGATTAAAGTTATTTATTGTGAAATAATTTGTTTTATTTACATAACCCAATCAACGTGGAAACCCAAAAAAATAATTATTTTTTAGGAAATTTCCGTATAGATGTTTAATAGGATAGGAAATTCTTATATGGGAATAAAACTATATAAAGCCCAAACAATAATATAAATAAAATAATTCAAAAATTGCAACAATCCTCAAAATGTTATTTGTAAATGTAGTCTCGATACGATTGTGCATGGTCTTGGATTTTTGTGAGTTATAAGGCTGAATTTAGTGTCACGCCGACCGCACGCGTACCGTCGGCGCTGATGGTCGAGATATATGAACTTCTAGAAAGCGTTTTTGAATTACGCGTAGCTATAAGCGCGCACGGTGGTCAGCGGCGATGGCTGCGCGGCCGTACGCGTCGCGCGTCGGCGCCGCGTAGCTGTCAGCGCTGACGATCGCTAGAGCGCCTCTGCTTTCAGTGAGCGTTGTAGTGTCGAACGGAGCGGACGTCGTCAGCGTGTACAGTCATGGCAAATCGCGAAGTGGATACAGGTCGAGTTATCGACGAGGTACGCCTGAGGAAGAAATTGTGGGATGCATCCGATCCACTCTACAAAAATAAAGATGCAAGAAACAAAGCCTGGGAGGACATTGTCGACACATTGTTCGAAAATATTTTAGGAGAGTCTCCTGCAACGGCTCTCTGCTCAATCAATGGATAAACATGGAGTCTTCGTCGTCGCCGGTTTTTATTTTTTTGAGATAGGTAGTACAAAGCAGCAATAACTAATACACTCCGCATTTTGGTCTTCGTCTGTACAGTAAGGCGGTCAGTACGATACTAAAACGAACCACGCTGAGCGTCAGCGCTGACGAACTACGCGCTGATCTATGAGCGCTGACGTATAGCGAATTATTTGTAGGAAAAAATATCTGAAGTAATGGATATCCCTATAAATAACATCACGGGCCTTCAATAATGCCCCAAATAAAATAATTGCGTATTGGATAAACCTCTAAGCTTTATTTAAAATAATTAAATTGCCAAACGGTTTTCATCAAATAATATTGTCTTCCCTGTTACTGATGCCAAAAGTGCATTATTGGTTTTGATAAAACAAAATAAACCTAACCTTATATTATATTATATTGCGCCCACAGAACAGGTTTTTATGTTATTGGTTAAGACTTATGGAACCTATTAGTCTCGAAGAATCCTATAAATTCAAAATAGTTGTAAATTCTTCCGTCTTTTAACTAAAAAGCTCATAAGCTTATTCTGAGAATATTGCACTACTATCATCACATGCTAGTTTCACTCGATAAACATACAACACTCTTCTGGTGCAGTATAAAATAAATCAGTGGCGCTACAACCTCTTAAGGTCTTGGCCTCAGATTTCTGAATCTGTTTCATGATCATTTCTAAATCTAATAGCCAAGTAGGCGATCAGCCTCCAGTGCCTGACACACGCCTTTTTGGGTCTTAAGACATGTCGGTTTCCTCACGATGTCTTCCTTCACCGTTCGAGCAAATGTTAAATGCGCACATAGAAAGCCGGGCATCGAACCTATGACCTCAGGGATGAGAGTCGCACGCTGAAGCCACTAGGCCAACACTGCGCTCTGGTGCAGTATAACCACGCATTAAGGTGTTGGGGTTGCCTCCCTTCTGCAGCGCATCGGGAATGTTTGCAGAGGTTTGTGTTCATTTTTTTGCATCAATGCGTAAGCGGTGCGTGGTTGTTCCAACAACTCTTTGGAAAAGATGGCCAGGTTGGACTGCCTTTCTGTTGTGAGATCTGCAGTTGTGGAAGTAATCTTTTAAGTTTCCTTGAACTTTTTGTTTTTACTAATAAACTACTAGATACTTAGTAGTACCGCAGCTTTTAAGATCTATGTTATACATAATATCGTTATTTATATTATTAATAAATTCTTAATTTATTTATGAACAAAGATTTTTTTATTTAATGCAACTATGTGGTGCGACAAAATAAAATAGGTTATAAGGCCAACTTAAAACTCTAACACCTTCATTGAGAAGCAAAAGTAAAACATCAGCAACCAGAGGCGGAACAACACCAACCTGGCTGGTACACGTGGGTCCTAGACCACCGTAAATAGTAAACCAGAAAAAATATATGTACATTGCGATATTCAATTGTAGAACGCTTATGACAGAAACTACACTAGTAACTGCGAAATTAAGCTTCTTAAAGCTTAATTTAGATTTATCAAGTAGGACATAATTGGTCTCTTCTAATAAAGGAAAAGAAATAAGAGATCATGATACATACTTTTTGTACTTCTATGGCGAAAGACAAGGAATTGGGTTTTACGTAAAATAAAACTCAAAAGTAAAATAATTCGTTTTCAACGGATAACTTACAAAATTTTAATCTTCAAAACTCAGTTGTCTAAATTTAAATATCTATTAGTCTGAGAATGTAGAAAATACCAGGACAATAAAAGTCAAAATTATCACAATACTTTATTATAATTTGTATTAAAATCTAATGAAATATATGTTATAACTATCTCGACAAATTTTGTTAGATAATTAAATTCGCCTTAAATTGCATGAATACATATTTACATATTCTAAATAACTTACATTTAGACGTATATGTTTGCCTGTTTAATGGCACATACCTACTTACTTTTGAAGAGGAAAAAGTGTCTTGTACTAATTAAATATTAACGCACATAGAAAGTGTATTTGTACCATTTGCTACGGTATTAACTATCGTCTAGAAAACGTGCGATCACGTTTATACCGGTCTTACGGAAAATATAATGTAAAACGTACGAAATAATAACAATACATCTAACAAAAACTCGTAATAATTTATTGTTGCTGTACAGCTTTATAAATTGCGCATTCCTTTTTAGTACCACACTTACGACGCGGTGCTCAAGGTATATCATGTTACTTATAGCATATTATCAGTTATAAAAGCACTAAAAATAACTGTTTCTTTTAAAATTCGAACTGGCATTACAGTTCTTGATTAGGATGTTAACCGTTACATTTTAGAAAATTTATATTTTCAAAAAAAATATTATAATAATTATTTATTTAAAAAATTAATTAAACAGATTCGTTAAGTAAACTAAAAACTTTAGGGAGAATCATTTGGTTCGTTCAAAGCACACGCCATACTATAATTAAATAGTATTCTTATATCTTATCTTGCCTAAATTTGCTCTTTATTCGTACGTGGCAGTCGGTTAGACACTTGAGACGCTATTGTAAGACGGTTGAAGCCCGACGTTACTAATCTGTGAAGCTATATAAATAGAAAAAATAAACGTATCATCCGAAACTGCAAAAAATTTTGGAAGTTCAAAACTACTTAAAAATATTTTATTTAAATAAGAAGTGCGATGTTTTATTAGTGTAATGTGTTAAACATTACATGATGAATTGTTCGATTGGTGACGCCAGTTTAATCTCGCTCAAGTCGCCGATTTCCATCACTTGGCATAAACTAAGTGATTTCAGGGATCTTTGAATACAAATATAAAATAGATTTTGTTATACAGAACTCATAGTTAAGTAAGTCTCGTAACTGAATCCTAAGTAAGATTCAGTCGAGACTAAGATCCATGTCCAAAACGTATTGTTTAATTCATATTTAAAAAGTGTTGAATACATTTAAAATATTCAATCGAATTAGCATTGCTAACTTCAGTTATAGTTAAAATATTGATAATTGTAAAAATAAAGTTTACTAATAAGTGCATATATTGGTAAGAAATTTTAACAGTTACGCGGAGTTTAAATAACGTACTATCATAAAAATATGATTTTTGTTCTGCAATAAAGCGATTGTATTCTTTGTTGCTCTTATTATGAAATATTTATTTGATTGACATAAAACCTGACTAATTAGAATAAATTGGAAGGAATGCATTACATAAAAATCTGGTTTATCCTTATAAAGTAAATAAGAAATACATTTGATATAATCACAAATTCACTACAGTAACATACAGAGCTTTCTTAAAAGTTCATCTGATTTCTAAATCAGTCTTATCACTTATCAAAATTTGAAGTAAAACTACATTAAAAACTAAGTGGAGGGAATACATTATTAAAACCACCTGAACAAAACATTCCAAAAACTAGATGCCCAATTTTTGGCCCAGCATTCACACACGCACAACGAACCTCCGAATAAACTATCTTAATATCTAGCTTTATCTTTATGGTGGTGTCTTGGCTGCCAGTCAGGCCTGTGGTGATGATGGTGGTGACGCCGCTTGTTAGGTGCCGGGTACACATCAGATACGACCAGCTCAGAGCCGTCCTTTGGGGCTTCGCGGTCGTGTCTGCGTGAGCGCCGACCTCCAGCAGCTTCATGCAATTCTTCCCAAGCTTGCCGGTAGTAACGGTTTAAGCCGTTGCGCGATTCCGACGAGGAGGAGTCGAGAGATGCGACAGTATTGCAATCGGGGGCTACGTGATGTCGGTAACGCTTTCCGTTGTTATGCTTCCTGCTGAAAACAAATTTTAGTCAAATGATTTAGGTTGTATAAGATAGTGCCACTCGAAACTCACATGTATCAATGCGTAAAGTGTCATATAAGGAGATTTTACTTTTACAATTAATGATATTGATAAAACATCCAATTTGGTGCGAACCGTTGTGCTCAGTGCTCCGTGATATTAAGCTTGTGTGAAAATGTCGCGGAAGGCTAATAGATCAAGAAAGCTGTGCGCAGTGTCAGGTTTTGACTGTATGTTTATAGTTTACGAAACAAAAATCAAATACACAACTGTTCATGAAAAAACCGAAAATTTTTAGTTGTTAATTTTGATTAATGTTTCTGTGTGTATGCGACGCTTGCTGGTGCTTTAATGCGTGCTTTTTTGACACGGTGGCTAATTCCTAACTTTTGATATACCTAGTGTAATGTATTTAAATTATGTTTTATTTTTCATATGCTATCTTTTCATTTTTGTTTTATTTTATTAAATTTTATTTAGTTGTTTATAATCATAATAAAGAAATTATAACATAAAATCCCGTCCTATTCCGTCTATATATTAAATCAACAATCAAACCGTTTTCCTTTGTCAGATTTTGTAAAAAAATCTCACGATTATACTTACATACATACGATTAGTACTTTAAATATAGAACAACTGAATGATTAAAAAATTTGGACAGAAAGATCCTATTATTTTATTACGGCCGTTATTTAAACTGGAGGGCATCAGCCACCGTGCTTAAGTGCGGTACCTTAAAATATAAACGCACTCTATAATGGGTTGGAGAAATGTCCGGCGCGATGTGTATGCCTGTGCGTGCGCGCTATCTCACGCCTCCCAACTTGCTGGTCCGGAAACGGAAGAGCCAACAAAGTGTACAAACGGGCCGGCAACTGCGGCGCTGCCCGCTGCTTGCGACCACCACTAACGTCATATGTTATGTTAATGTAAGTATGTCAAAAAAAGGGTGCGTGTACTTATGTACGCGCGTAAGAAGTTATACTTCTTTGGCATTATTAAAAATAGTTTTTGATTGCATGCAAATAATTAATTACAATTACATAATCAAAGACTGGAAAAGGAGTCATTATAGTCAATAAAGTTCAGTTTACATTTGAAAAATTAAATAAATAAATATTTATTATTATTATCTTACATTAAGTGTAACATAAATTATAATATTATTCGAATGTTGTTTTTAAATTATGTCCAATGCCGTAGCATCTTCCGTGGGCAACTTCATTCTGTTAATTTTGTGTCACGGTGCGCGTGCATCGTAAAATTTCACTCTCATCAATTTTTCATAACGCGCCTAAAGAAGTATAACTTCAAAAAGGTCGGACAGTAGTCGTCGTTGTCACGGCAACTTATATTTAAGTATTTTATGACGATTATTACGTTAATTATATACATATCTATGTATTAGTATAGAATGAAACTTGAGAATTTATGGTATATATTGCTGCCAACTACAAGTGATTAGGATCGTAGCTAAAAAACATCATTTATATTTTAAGGTACTTTCTGTGTAAAGTGTAGATGTTAATCAAGATCACAGAGCACGGACACATTCTTATAGTTATCGTCCTGTTGAAAAATAATAATCTTGTAACGTATTGCAACTCTAACACACCTGAAAGCCTTGTAGCTTAAACCATTCAGTGATAAGTACATACTAAGCCTATGTGGTGTTTGAACACGTTAATCGATTCTGCTTCAGATCCGTCCAATTGGAGTATGAAAGAAACCTAGTTTAGGTTGAATCGGCCGGTAGAACTAACAAACTTACATAACTAACTATCCTTTACCATGAGCCCAATTAGCCGAAGTTGAAAGAATGTTCATCATTCTCATCGCTAATATTTATGGTTTCACAGTCATTTCATCACCGCCTGAGACGCTTAGCAGGCTTTGTGTGACGACCAGTAGTTATGTGAAGGGCAGTACGGTAAAAAAAAATGAAATTTGTATGTTCTATTTGCGAACTTACCTCTTGACAAGTATAACAATGGTCGTGATTATGGCTATTAGGAAAACTAAGGCCCCAAAAGCTCCAAGGGCAACTACAGCCCCTATATTCAATCTGGCACCGACTGGTTCTCGCCTATCTCCGTCCACTGGCGACGGCACATTCACTCTTGGTATCTGCTCGGTTCTTATATTGTTGCCGTTTCCGAATATCTGAAATAAATAATATATATTTAATTTTGTTTCTTCATTTCTTTTCTGTGATCAATTGGAAAAGGTACATCACAAGAAATAGTTGTGAGCTCTTAACTAAATTATTTTTAAACAAAATTTTTACAATTCTCACCTGATTCTCCCTAGGATGATTTGCCACTGTTATCTGCGGCACATGACTCGTGGAAGACTGCTCCGAATCTAATACAGTCACTTTCTTCACAGGTATCCTAGTGGTTCGTTCTGTGCTTGGTCTCGTCATATCTGGAATGGGCGAGGTGGGTCTAAGCGTAGACGGCCTTGGTTCGACGGATGTAGGTCTATTGCGACGCCTGGTGGGAAGTATAAGTCGTGGTGTTGTCGGGGCTGGCGTAGTTGTAGTAGTTGGTTCTGGTGTTGATGTTGTTGTTGACGTTGTTGTTGACGTTGTTGTTGTGGTTGATGTGGTTGTCGTTGTTGGGCGTTCTTCA